GCTCTAGCATCAAAGCTTTTGCATCACGCTGCTCTCTCCGTAATTCTATATACGTTTTAGAGACTTTTTAAATAGTCCAAAAGTGAGAATATAGAAGCTTATGAAAACCAAACACGTACAAAGTATAGGTGCACTATATGCGTGGAGAACCAGCGCTTATATCGTACCATCGGTTGTACGTTGGGCACCGTGCAGTCGGTGCCATTTTCGTAATTTAAGTGAAAAGTCGCGTCTCACGCTAAATGAGCATTAATGTACTTTCAGTGAGCATCAATCCTATTCTATTGAGTATTAGGAGCTCAGTAATGAGCATCACGATCTCTGCTTCATATTATCTAATTCATTTTTTTCTTTTTTTTTCTTTTATAAAAATTTATTAAATTCTATCTACAATCAACTCCTATGAATTTCAATATGTGAATCTAATGTAATATGATACTTTTGAAATATGCATTGACATAAAATTTTAAAATGAGCATAACATCCGTATCAAATGAGCATATGTAACTTACAAAATGCGCATTGATATGAAAAATCGTGAGGTTTATTATTTGAACATCACGAGATTTTCATTGAGCATCAAACCTCCTCTATTATGAAGATCACGGTTTCTGTTAAATGAGCATTAGTGAACTTGTAAGGGAAAATGGAAACTAATAATCCAACCTTTTAGCGGTCTTCTTACAATAGTCCCACCTTTTGATTATTCAGGAATAATCCAACCTTTGCACCACATCTTCATTCAATGGTCCCTGACCGGTAGATGACCTGCTATTCCAAGTTATTTTCTTATCTTTGCACCCCAACTAAAAGTTGGATTATTCCTGAATAATTAAAAGGTGGGACTATTGTAAGAAAACCATTAAAAGTTTGGATTATTAGTTTCCATTTTCCCAACTTTTAATTAGTATTAGACCTATTATGTGGATTTTTTTGATGAAATGTTTTGAACATGGTCCTTATCAAGTCTAGTTTATGCATACCAAATTTCAGCTCAAAATGCAATCAGGAAGATAGTTAAAAATTTATTGAAACATACTGCATTTTATATATGTATAAAATGTGTCGTAAGAGAATAGCCGTCACTTGGAGTGACGACTTTTGTACTGTAAGGGCCTCTGTTGGTTGGAGGGTTTCAGAGGGGATGAGAGGGAAGTGAGAGATTTGTGTGTGTTTGGTTGAAGGAAATATGGGGGAAGGGGAGGAAAGTGGAAGACTTCCAAAATCCTTCACTTCCTCCCATTCTAAACCCCCCAAATCGGGGTATTTCGGAGGAAACGTGTTGATAACTACAAACTATCCACCTCCTACGTGAATGGATAAAACGTTATAATATAAAAAGGCAAAAAACAAAAAGTTTTGAAAAATTAAAAATTAAAGATTAAAAAAATTTAAAGATTAAAAAAATTTAAAAATTAAAAAATAAAAAATAAAAAATAAAAAATTTAAAAATTTAAAAATTTAATAATTTAAGAATTTTAAAAATAAAAATAAAAAATTAAAAACTAAAAATAAAAAATTATAAAATTTAAAAAGTTAAAAATCAAAAAATAAAAATAAAAATAAAATTATGACTCATGACCATAGGAGTAATATTCACAATAGTTAGACATGTATCTGTTTTTTTAAGTAAGTTATCAAATAGAGGTAAATTACGAAAATATTTTCAATAAACATTTCCTCCTATTTCCTCTAACCAAACACAAATTTTTATAAAAAACCTTCCTTCCCCTCCCCTCCCCTCCCCTTCCCTCCTTGACTCTCCCCTTCCCTCCCCTCCTTTGAACTAAACAAGGTCTAAGAGAAGAACCACACTTAAAGTGACGACTTTTCTTAACCACGGTTAACTCAACAATATTTTGGGAATTATTTTTAACCCAACAATATTTGGGAATTTATTTATTTTATTAGCATTATTATGGGAAAAAACTCGAGCTAATTATTCATTAATTGAAATTAATCAAATGTTTTTAAATATAGAGAATAGATAATTTTGTTAACCAATAGTATAGTGAGTTAGGGGCTGTTTACTTTTTTTCTCATTAAGTCATGAATGGATTAAGATGTCTGTCTGCATTAAACTGTCTGTCTGGATTAAGTTACACTGAGATAACAAGTTGTTTACTAAGTGTGCTGAATGAGAAGTTTGAATCATGTCTAATTACCAAATAACCCTCCTGTCTGTAACAAGTGCTGAATGTATATTGTCTGTTTATGTTCTTTGTTCTGAAAGATAAAATTTATATACCAGAAAATACTAATACTATGAATTACTTAAATAAAAGAGTCATATTGCATGATAAAACAAGGTCATGAGTTTTACGAGAACGACATTTTAAATTTAAACATTTCATGCTAGTCTATTGGCAATTTCATCCTGCAAATTCGCCATCTATTGTAGACTTTGTGTATCCCATTGTGCTCCATGTACTTCCTCTTGTGCTTGATTGTTGATTGCATCGTCATTATCCCATTCATCGAAGAACTTATCATCAATGTTAGATTTTCTAATAAAATTGTGAACCGCAAAACAAGCAATCACCACATTCCTTTGTACCGCAAATGGATAAGGAGCCATTTGTTCTAAGATTGGAAATCTTGATTTCAAGACACCATAAGTACGATCAATCACATTCCGAAGTTGTGCATGTGCATGATTGAATTTTTCTTCTTTAGTAAGTGCACGACGACGTCGATAATCTGCTAACCAATACCTTGTGTTACGATATGGAGCCAAGAAACCACGCGTGTTTGCATATGCAGCATCACATAAATAATATTTCTGTAAAAATTTCAAATGTTATAAAATTGTTAATTAAATTAATAACATTTAATGAAAAATGAGAAATGATGCGCACCTTGTGGAGGAAACGGGAAGCCAGAATTAGGATTAAATACAAATTGAGTTAATACTCAAGAATCATGTGTTATTCCTTCCCAACCAGCCCAAACAAAAGTGAATACCATATTGAAATCACAAATTCCTAAAACATTTTGATAACACCACCCCCTCCTCTTCCTCAATTAGCAAATCTTTTAGAGGGCTAAACCATTTTAAAACACTGATTGATAGCATTAATATTGTGTTTTGGATTGAGATACTATAAAGCTAAATAGGGAATGTTCTTTATATGTACTGGACTTCTTAATATGGACCTAGAGTTGAACGATGGAAATCCATTTGATAGGATTTATGTTCAATTGGTCAATACAAAAGAAGTTATTACACTTCCTTAACAATGTAAATCCCTAAAGTTAAACATGGCTTAAAGAAACTGAAACTGGGGCCAAAATTGGAGTGAAAGTTGCAGTAGATATGTGACCTCAGAAGACCAAAAGCTGGACTGGTGCAACATGTTTGCTCTTGCTGTTGAACCCCCAGCCTAAACTAGTTAAACATGGCTTAAAAAAACTAAAACAATATAAATATAGGAGTAATTATTATTGGCAACCCAAAATCCAATAATCCAAACTCAAATAACTAAAAGAATAAAACAATGGCAAGTTGTACAAAAAAACACTCTGTAAATCACATCTAATTAGAAAATATCCAAATCCAAGCACTTCTTTTACATGGTTTCTCCCCATTTTCAAATGCAGCCATTTAGCCGCATAAACAAAAAAATAAAACAGAGCATATCAATCAATAGAAAAAGTCACGATAAGACAATCGAAAATTAGGCAGTTCATGAAGGAATTCAAATCAGGTCACCAATCTCACCACCATCTCCTGTCTCCTTCATCATCTCAGAGTAGTTCTAGGTGTGTGAAACAGTGAAACTACTCTGAAAATGTGATTATTTAGAAGATCGAAATCAAAATGACGTAAACAAAAAATCGTGAGACTTGGTGCGAGGATAAAGATTATGAGCCCTTTTGGTAGCACGAAAATCGGCTGTTTTGGCTGATTCTGCTGAAATTTATGAAGTTCTGGCTGAAGTGGTTGTTTTGGCTGATTCAAGAAAAAAATATTTTAAAAATATAATTTATTAATAAATTAAAGAAAAAATTACATGTTAAAATAGCTAAAATGGTCATCTGCAGTAACTTCAGCCAATACAGCCAGAAAAGTAACTCCAACCTTACTTTTTCTGCTTATTACACAATTCAGCACACGAAAGTAAAAGTTACGTGTTTGGTGAAAAAGCTGGCTGATAAGCCTGATAAGCCGAAAAAAGAGGTCTCCAAACGGGCTCTACATGTAATCAACACACACAAAATCATTAAATCAAGTAATCAACTAACTAATCGGTATTCATTTATAAACAACTACTACGGGTATGAATTAAGAATTAATTCATAAAAGAGATAAAGAATAGGGAGTACCGGAAAGGCGGAGGGCGAAGGCGTAAGACAAAATTCAGAGCATTGAGAAGCCGAGAAGGCCAGAAGGGGCAGGCGTCCAAGCGACGGGCATCGGCGACTTGATGAAGACGGTGTGCTGCGTGGCTGCTTGCTGATCTTGCGTTGTTGTCTGGATGAGTCGTAAGTAAAGAACGAAGGTAGAGAGCTAGGGTTAAAACACCAATAAAGCGTCTGTTAGCTAAAGAGTGTAGTTATCCGGCTGAACGGTTAAGTCATATTTCGTCTAAGCGAATAAGTCAAGTTGTTCATTAAGTCGTAAGTAAACATGACTTATTGATTGAACGAGTAAGTAATTTTTTTTCATTCAGCTCATTAAGTCCTAAGTAAACGGGCACTTAGTGACATATCAACATTTTATAAATGACCTTTATTACTCCCCCGTCCCCCTAATATTGGTACGAAAGGGAGTGATGTGATTTTTAAGAAAAGTAGAATTATGTGGTTGATAATGAATTGATAAAGTGAGAATAAAGTAAGAATGAATTATAGTCATACAAATATTGCCAAATATGATATGAGACAATAGTAAACAGACATAAAAAAATGAAAAAATGGGACAATTATAAAGATACAAAGGAGTATATGGAACAACATAATGATACATAAGGGGCGGAGAACACCCTCTCCTCTTTTTAGTGAATAAAACTTGAAGGTAACGAGTGCACCTTAAATTTCTTGGAGAAGAGTCCACCAGATATTTTCTTTTTCCTTTCACCATGTTTTCAAATTCAGACATAGAAGAAAAATGCAAACCTTGAGAACTCTCATCTCTTCATTGAAAATCCGATCCGCAGCGCCTCCCAGTATCCTTAAACGGTATCATCCTCTCATTCGCACTTCACAGCTTTGCATTTTCATGTTCATGTCGTTGTTTTGTATTTAGTCTGGGTTCAAGGCTGCAGTCTGAATATATGTTCTACCTTCTTTTCATTTGCTTTTCTTTTTCCTACACTCGTTGTTAAGCGCGTCCAACTATTTGCTTACATTTTGAGGTATCAAATGCATCAATATAAACTATTTTGAAAAAATGAAAACTGAGCTTTGAATGATGTGCAAAAATTCTTAGGGTTTCTATGCATCAATAATTCTTAGTGAAGGCAAACTTCATACTTCGATTCCTGAAGGAAAAACAAAACAAAAAGGACGCATTCTGTATGAATTAGAGATAAGACCGGATCTTTAAGGGCTGTAAACTTAGAGATACGGACCCACTTGTCTTGAGATTACCAAAAATTATGGGAAAAAGGTGCAAATAAGCTCTCAAACTAACCGAAAAAGTGCAAATCACCCCTTTTATAGGAGCTCTGTCCGGCCGTCCCATTTAGGGAGGTTCATGGTGGAATTTTTTGATGATTTTTTTTGACCATCTTCTTCATCCGGGAAGGCAAGTCTAGTTTACCCATACCATATTTCAGCTAACAATTCAACCGGGAAGGCAGTCAAATGATTTTCTGAAATATACTGCGCTGTTTAACTGCGTAGTTATCTTCAAACATTTATTTGACTGCCTTCGCGATTGCATTTTTAGCTGAAATTTGGTATGGGTAAACTAGACTTAATGAAGAAGATGCTCAAAAAAATTCATAAAAAATTCCACCTGTAACCGCCCCAAATGGCGACGGCCGGACAGAGCCTTGTATAAAAGGGGTGATTTGCACTTTTTCGGTTAGTTCAAGGGCTTATTTGCCCCTTTTCCCAAAAATTATTAAGCTGAAAACGATGTAAGGCACAGAATTGAAAGAAAAGCTTAGATCGTTATACATTATATAGTCTAATAGGTACTTCTAACAAGCAGAAGCAGCCAATACAATCCTCAAATATGAAATACCATTATATAGACTTTAAACTAAAACTGCTTCCGCACATGCATAAGGGTCAATAAATTTTAAGTGATCCATATCGGTGAGATATAAATAAATAAGCTCATATATAAAGCCTTGAAGACTTTTCTTATCAGGTAAGAATGTAAGATCTTTAGTTAGAATCAAACCCCGAGTTTTAGGACGGTATATGAGTCAATTACGCCTCAACAAGTAAGTACTGCAGTACTAGTAAGCCTTAGCAAGGAGCATACAAACTTCTGGATTGGTGTACTCCAATGAACTGCCATATCACAACATAGAAAGTCTTCAACTACTTCTATGAGATTGAATGATTTTTTTTTGCCTATGAGATTGAATGATGAAATTCAGATCTTATAAGTTCTTAATAAGAATGCAAAATTATTGAGTGAAGCCTTACAAATAAATTTGAGGCATGAAAATTTAGGCAAAATGCAACCTTGCCTAGTGCCTCCCCTCCTATCCACCATGCAAAAGTATTGTTTTTTTTAAACTATTTTAAGTAGCATGGTTATGTACATTTTGTGTATACAGAAGATTCCACTCTACCAGTTATAGGTCAAACAGACAGAGAGATGCTTCTCTTTTATCTGGTCAACATCAAAGTTCAGCCTCAAGTTCATGGAGATATTATATATTAGTATGTTACCTGTACGAGAACTTTAATTATAATGCTTTTGCATTGCTTTTTGAAGTGCAAAAGTCATTAGTTTTGTTACAATCCTTTGTTCTATTTTTTTAATTTTCTAACATTTTGCAGCCTGGGGCTCTCTTCGGGGGAGTTGGAGGATTAATTCTATTTTTGCATAACAATGATGAACGGAGAGCGATCCCTAAAGGTACTGTTCAACATAGCAATTTTGTGCTTATGGTTATGTTTTCTTTCTTCGATGTGTGTCGGGCTGTCAGCATATTTGCAGTTACAGATTTTAGGCAGGAGGTTTAACAGTTTAACTTGATCAAAATTCACAAATTAAATAAATGGCTTGAAGAGTGGTTTGATAGGCAATGTGCTTACCAAGAGTGAAGTTTACTGAACAGTAAAAAAAACTTTAGCAGAATCTTCCCAGAGAAGGATATTGATACTAGTTTATGTTTAGTTGATAGGGAAGAATGTCTATTTTAGGAATCTTCACCTTTTCTCATATTTCTCAGGTCAGGGTGTGAAATTTGAAAGAAGTTCAAATCAAGGACCAATTATCGGCGGTCCATTCAGTTTATTTAACACTGAGGGTAAATTGGTAACTGAACAGAACTTCCTGGGAAACTGGGTTCTTATCTGTTTTGGTTACACAAGTTCTCCTGAAGTCGGACCAGCTGTGGTCAGGAAGATGGCTAGAGCCGTGGCTTTACTAGGTGCTAAAGTTTAACTGATTTATTTAATCTTAGAACCTATTTGGTCTGGCTTGAATGGCTGAATCTTGTGAATTTGTTAAATTATCTCAAATCAAATTTATTTTTCCATCATTTGCAATGGAGCCAAAAACTCGCTATTTTTTGGCTTGAGAATGTGATGGAATAAAGCAAAATGGCTCACTAAACCGTTTGGCGCTTCTTTGTTATGAAGGAGCAGTCGGTCCATGCAATTTTTGACGCGTTTTTCACTATGGGTCATCCGGAAATAGTCTCTATGTGCTTTAGTTAGGGGTGCTTTAGTTAGGGGTAAGACTGCATACATCCGACCCCTCCTACCCCACCGTAGGTGGGAGCCTTTGCGACACTGGGGTAATGATGATGATGATCTCAAATCAAATTTAACTGTTAGTTACCTCCATTTCAGCCAACATACTACTTTTGCGCTGCAGTAGTGAGTGTTTGGTAAAACATCTTATTGATTGACCAGAACTAATGCCTACCAAATGGGCCCATGCTTTTTTTTTGTTCAAGGTTCAAGCTAAAGTATCTTCTTGTTCTTTCGTACTACTGTGCAGAAAAATCAAAACCGGATCTAAAGGTTCTTCCGGTATTTGTTACTATTGATCCTCAGCGTGATACCCCTTCTCAACTTCGTTTTTATCTTGAAGGTACGATTTCAATTTTCACAATGCTATTTTCTTCTTCTTATTATTATTATAAACCCTTTCTGTCATTTTATCTTTTATTAGTTTCCCAATTATATAATGTCCACTACACCACTCGTTTCCACTACTTGCAGAGTTCGATCCAAGAATAGTGGGATTAACTGGACCAGCATCTGCAATAAGGCAGATAACACAAGAATACAGGGTGTTCATTAAGAGGGTTGATGAAGAAGATGATTATCTGATTGAAACTTCTGACAACCTGTAAGCTTGATTACTAAATGCTACTCCTTATTGCTTACCTAATTAACATGACTGGAACGTCTTTCAGTATAAAGGTGTATATGTCATGATTGCCAAATTATTTACAGGTACCTGTTGAATCCAAAAATGGAAGTTGTGAGATGTTTCGGAGGGGAGTACTACAATGCAGAGCTGCTCGCTGATGAAATTGACAGAGTGGTGAGGAAAGTTGGAGTGTAGTAATGAATCCTTTATATGGGCAAGATAATATGAGGAGTAACTAAGTGCTTCACTATCAATGCAACATTTTTTACAGCGCAGAGTATTACGGAGCACATATTTACATATACTTCTCTTTCCGATGATTCACTTTGCATGCATGTGAAGGGGTCATGAAAATGATATACCCACTTTGTGTCCTTTCTAAGAATGGCACTGATCAATTTCAATTAGTTTTGCCTCTTCCGTCCTGTGAAATCAAATGCACAAGACTGCACGTTGAGATAATTTTGACTTTATTTATCTAGATAGTTTAGACTAACAATTAAATGAAAATTAAACTTCAACAACCAGCCACTGTGCTGCATACAAGAGAATTTTATATGCATGAATTACCGGTCTCGTGTTAGTCCGATCCCAAGCCCCAACAGTATCGAGTCCGGTTTCGGTCTAGTCGGGACCAACGGATTGGGTCCATGTCTAATTAAGGATATGTATAAAAAAAGTGTATATATATTTATTTAATTTAACTGGTTTTTGATATATTTTGGAGAAAGTATAAAATTTACACATACTAATATTTTACTACATACTCCTGCCGTCCCATAAAGAAGTTTCCATTTCGGTTTACGATGTCTGATTGACGATAAAACAAACCGATCTTATATATTCATAAACTTTATTATAAATTCTACAAAGTCGCAAATAGAAAATTCAAAATATTGATAAAAATTTAATACATAAAGTAAAAGATTAAGAGTGATTTAATGTGACCTAGTCAATAGTAAACGAAGAATTCATTTTGGGAAGGAGGTAGTATATAAATACTACTATTGTTATCCTTAATATATAGTTATATACTATGTATGTGTGTGTGTGTATATGTGTGTGTGTGTGTGTGTGTGTGTGTGTGTACACTTGCACAGTTGCACATATTTATTCATTTAAATATAGCATAAATGTTGTGAATATGACTGTTCTTTCTAGTCTTTAAAATAATATTTTAAAATAGCAATAACATTCATAATGATATTTCTAAATTAAATCATTAAGGATATGAATAAAAAAGTGTGTATATATTTTATTGTAATTCTTATCGTTATTATTACATTGTCATTATTATTTTTATTTTATTTGAATTAATATTGCTAGTTTTGAATAATTGTTAAAATAATTAAATAATAAAGTAAAATTAAAGCGTAGGCTTTTAAAATACTCCGTATAACATTAAAAAATCTTTGTGAAAAGTTACTCAAAGTGACTTTTTCATTATTGGCTTTTTCGCTTTTAATACCTAAATGAAAAGACCATTTATCAAACACTAAAAATAGCTCTGTCAAACAGCCAAAGTCGATACAAAAAAATACAATGAAACCTTGACGTATGTATTTTTCTTTTGATGATTTTAATCATTCGTTTGTTTGTCTTGATAATGGCATGCAAGTTGGCGAAAGAGTGAGCCTATGTAATCGGATTCCTTATTTATATGCTTGCATGCAATCACATATAAGTTTCCCATTTTTCTTTCCTCTAAAATAGGTAAATGGCCTCAATCCTCCCTTCACCGGGAGTCTAGCTTTCCCACATAATCCAGACACAAATTAAGGAAAACTCATCCTAACAAAAATCCAACAAAAAAACAAAAAAAAAAAACAAAACCCCATTTCAACAAAAAGGGCTCATTTTCAGGTGAAAAGTCTCATACAAACACCAAATTGTTCTTGTTGATCACCACCATATCTTCCTGTGTAGCTATCGCCTTGTTTTCTTCCAAAGCCCTAATCAATAGCGCGTTTCGAAAAGTCTTCCCACAACTGAGCCCAATAATTACATGGAATTGATTTCTTGAAAAAGGAAAAGCCTCTCCCCTCTGGGAAGCTGCTGCTCAAGGCCTAAACACACACAATCTGATCGAAATGGGAGACTCGTCTCCTGAGAAAAGATCGGGTTGTGGCTTGCTAAATGCGGTTTTCGGGCGGAGGAGTATTTGGCCTCGGAGATCAACCTCCACGGGTTCACTTACGATGCAAACTCCCAATAATGTCTCCAGAGTCCCCAGCACTCCCAACTCCAGAACCTATTGGGATTGTTGCGACATTAATGCCCAAAACCAAGTAACTGCAGATAGAATCATTGCCCGTCCTGGCCCCAACCATTCAAAGTTCTCTTCATCTCGCAATCAGACACCTCAGCAAAACCATCAAAACAAGAGAATCCCTGCTGATGACAAATATAAAAATACAAATCAACCACATAGTAATCAAGGTAGGAAGATTCCTCCAAGTGCGACAGGAATCTCAGGGGAGCTCGAGAGCATGATCTTAGATAACCAAAGGTTAGTGGCCGGAAATGCTATGCCGCTTGGGAATCTGGGAAATTTAAGACAACCTGGGCCCAACAGTGTGCTTAAGGAAGAGGATAAAAATTTACATAATGGGAAACATGGTGTAAAGGGAAATTTAGCAAAGAAACAAGAAAGGCCTGAAGAAGACGCCGCCGAGAAGCCAGCCTCACTTTGTCGGGCTATTTCGACACGGATGGATCCGGAGGAGTTGAAAATATTGGGGAATGAGGATTACAAGAATGGAAGGTTTGCAGAAGCATTGGCTTTGTATGAAGCGGCGATCTCCATTGATCCCAATAAGGCTTCTTACAGGAGCAACAAATCTGCCGCTCTGTGTGCTTTGGGAAGACTTCTTGAAGCCGTTTTCGAATGCAGAGAAGCTATCCGGATCGAACCACATTATCAAAGAGCTCATAACCGTTTGGCCACTTTATATGTTAGGTAAATCACATAATAATCAATAATAAAAAACAATAAAAAAAACTTATAGAATACAAAAACATAATGTTCAAAAAATAATAATAACAAAATAAGAAAAGAAAACAAAAAACAAATTATCTTTATATTTGTTCCATGTTGGATTATTTGATTATGATTTGTATGGTACTCTAGATTGGGAGAAGCAGAAACTGCAATGTATCATTTCAAACAAGCAGGGCAAGAAGGAGATCCTGATGTCATGGCCAAGGCTAGAAATCTTAAAGTTCATCTCTCCAATTGCACCGAAGCAAAGAAGCAAAGAGACTGGAACAGCCTTTTGAAAGAAAGTGGGCTTGCCATTTTAGCTGGTGCTGATTCCGCACCACAGGTACTCCCAAACTATACTTTCCCATTAACCTTAACAATACTTTCTTTCCCTTTTTTATATTGGGGGATGGATTTGTTGATCCAGATATTTGGCTTGAAAGCTGAGGCGCTGATAAGGCTGCATAGGTACCATGATGCGGATGAAACACTGAGAAAGGCCCCAAAATTCGGTGTTGATGAATGCACCAAATTTCTTGGCCCCATTGGTAATGCAAGCCTCCTCATCATACAAGCTCAAGTCAACATGGCTGCTGGAAGGTTAATACTCACTACTGAACTAAAGACTAATGCTGCACAAGTTTATGCACCTATTTCATAACGGCAAAGTTGCATAAATTATGGCTGCTGTAGATGAAAGGGTTTTTCCTATAACATTACTAAAATATTAAAACTTAAAGGAAAAAATATGACTACATGGTGGTCATTATATTCATGTGGAACTATCACTGCAATAAGTGCAAATTGAATTAGATATCATCATAGTCACGACAATCATTGCGAAAATACAAATTAGTCACCGCGCTGTAAAAGTAACCAATTTGTCCTATACTTTTATTTGGGATATATATTTCTCATTATTTTCTTGAAAAAAATGTTGATATGACTCAACAATGAAAATGAATAATTAGTACTTCCACCGATACTCTTTTGTTTGCATCATTTTCCTTTTCACACTGTATTTTAATCTTTGCAACACTTCCCCTTTATGGAATGTTTTATCTTTCAAATACCTAAATACCCTTACCTTTTAGTCTTTTAATCTTAATTACATTCTCTAACCTACTTTATGATTATATCATCTCTTTCCTATTTTATCACTTTACACTACCTTTACTATTTTTTTCGTATTTTTCCTTTAAACGTTGTATTTGATAGAATACAGGACATACATATGTGGAAAAAAAGTTGAAATGACCGTCTTCCGCATATAAATTAATGTGTAGCAAGTATATGACAGAAAAAAAGTTCATCTGCCAAATGGCTACCAAGTAGAAACAATAACGTTTTCTCTTGCAGGGTGGATGAAGCCAAGGAAGCAGCAGAGCATGCAGCCCGGCTAGACTCTAATAACAAGGAAGCAAGCATAGTAGCTATGAAGATGCGGGCTGTTGCGAATGCGAGATCGAATGGCAATGAACTGTTTAAAACGGGAAGGTTTTCAGAGGCTTGCAAAGCTTATGGAGAAGGACTTGACCATGACCCCTACAATGCTGTCCTGTTGTCTAATCGAGCTGCCTGCTGGACAAAGCTTGAACAGTATGAGAAAGCACTTGAGGACTGCAACGCTGCCCTTACTTTTCGACCATCTTTCACCAAGGCTAGATTTAGGAGATGTGATTGCCTCTTCAAGGTAGACCTGTTATTCTCAGTCCTAGAAAGACCAATTCTATTATTGTTGAGTATCTAACACCTGTTGTCCTGGTGGCTAAGTTTTGTACATATGTGTCATGTAAATCCCATTTGAAGACCCTTTAGGGGTGGATTAAGCTTAAGGTTTGTGGGCGCCTACCCACTAAATGGTTTGGGCATCCCATTTTGATTTCAGATTTGGACCATTGGAGTAGTGTGATGAACATCAAACATTAGTAGTGATGGACACGGTTCCCCAACCGGATTTCTTAACAAAACTGGTCGGGCAAAGGAACTTAATTGGCTCCCCTCTTTTACAGATCCGGGCCTGAACCGGTTCTCGGAATTGGTCCAAATCGAACAGGCTTTTATATATATAAAAAGTATAAAAAGTATTCTAAAAACGGAACCGGTTTGCACGGTAACAGTTGCTATGCCACCGTTACCCTTAATCGGAACTGGCCCGAGCCCACTCCTACACATCAGTTACCCAATGAGTTTGAGTTTAGTATATAAGTGTGAGATCAACAGTGCATCTTTATCTTCTTTTCAGAAAGATGCAACTCCAAATTAGTTTAACAATGACAGAGCATAAAGTAGAAACCCATTTTTTAATACTCATTTGATTGATGTAATAGATGGGAGATTTGGAAGCTTGTATTCAAGATTGTGAAGCATTGGTCAAAGAGTTTCCTGAAAATGAAGAGGTTTGTAGCATGTTAAAAGAAGCAAAGGTGCAGCTCGGTAAACGACGAACCAGTGATGGCAGTACAGAATGACGATATATACCCGTAGTAAGTAGAGATTCTAAATCAGTTTCTACTTTCTAGCATTGTAAGTAGAACTCTTTGTGAAATGAGGTTTACTGAAGTTATCAATATATTAACAGTAGTTTTACCAGGTGGAGTGGTGGAGGTTATATTGAAGACCGACCACAAGATCGTTAGAGTGTTGTTGCTATTAAAGATGAAAACAAAACGATCTACAGTCCACACTAGAGAGCTCTCTCAAGTTTAAAACTTACTGGCACTGGCTTCTTCATTGTCAACAGTAGAGGGGCAAAACGGGCACGTTACACAGCATAGAAGGGGAGGATCATTTCAGAGCTGAAAATTAGGGAGTAGGATTGAATAGGTTGTACTGGCATAGTGGCATTAAAAGAAGTCCAAGAACACTACATCATTGCACTGGTTTTTCTTCTTATAATGTAATGTAATTATATTTAGTTTAGGTTGATTGTTAATTAGAGCATAAATTATAGAAAGAGGCGTTGCATATCTTCTTCTATACACTTATCCTTCATTTTTTTCAATCTTAGTTTCTGTAGCCAAAACCATCCCTGTCTCTCATAAAAGGTTCATGTTTCTACAGTGACTTTTGAGATTGGATTACAACTGGAAGGAAAACTAAGGACCCATGGGTAAGGATTGTTTCACTGAAATGCCTTGATCAATTGAAGTTCCTTACAGGAAATGGTTGATAACATCATGTGAAACAAATTTTAAGATAATTTTTTATATCCACACATCATTTTTGGCTAAATAAATGAAAATCTACTCTCCTTAAAAAAAATAGAAAATCAACTCATTCCTCATAAAAATAGCAAAAACTGCATTTGGCTAAATAAATGAAAGACTCTCATTTGTCATCTATTCTCAAATAAATATATAAGGCATTAATAAATTGTCCTTTTAAAAGAAGGATCTGCATTTATATAACTAAACCATGCCACCATCTTCATCAAGTTTATGAGGAGTGAGGACCATAGGTGAAGTTTCCTTATGGATTCATTTATTATATTACACTATATACACATAAACCAGAAAAACAGTACAGTTACTATCATTACATTATATCCATGCCACTAGATTGCATTATTATGCACAAGATTGTGCAATGCAAACAAATGGAAGAATTCTAGCCTGACCTTGCATTCTCAATAGCCACAACTAAATCATCTAATTTGGCTCCGGTTACTTCTTGGACAATCTTGCCACCCTTAAGAATCTTGAATGTAGGAACCACCCTTATGCCTAGCTCCTTGGCCAATGGCTGCCAAATTCACAAACAGACTGGCCATATGAGAGAAAGATACATGTGACTATGTGAGGTGAATGAAGGATGAAACATTAATTTAGACCAAGCTACCTTGTTATCCTGGTTGCAGTCCAACTTTAGAAAGACAACATCAAGATACTTTACAGACATTTCTTCAAATTTGGGAGCCATAATTTTGCAAGGACCACACCTGCATTTATTAAAAAGCCAAAAGCATGACAAAAACACCAAATCATTAAGGTCCTGTTTGGAACCCGGGAAAGATTTCGAAAGAATATTGGAAGGAACCCGTGAAGAAAAACTTGAAGGAGAGATAAGTGTGAGGGAGGGAATAAAAGATAGTCTAAAACTCACTAAAATTATACTCTGTATTAGATACTTGTTTTTACTCAATTTACTTATTTATTTATGTGTATTACACAAAGACTAAGAAATCTAATCAAACAGGATTCTAAAAGAAGTTATCATATTTTGTTTTTCTTGTATCTTGTCTGGGTAAACCCAGCATAACAAAACAACCTTCCTTAGCATTCAGTTTCCTTTTCGAAGCATTTTATGGGATCTAAGCATACCCCAAAGGCCCAAACCAATTATGTAAAATGAGTTAGGTGGCCTGCTACACAGAAGACAAATAAGACCTAAAGAAAAGTGGGGGACTTTCTTTAACATCAATCCATTAAACAGTCTTACACAATAGTCAAATCAGGTTCCGATAAAGCTCTAGAAGTTTTTCTCTGCAATTCGAGATGGAAGAAAAATGTATTCAGCATATATATGTTCCATAAGATTCGCATATATTCTTTTGGCACCAATGATCTTAATTATCATCAATAAAGTCAAAGGACGAAACATCACAAATACAACTCAGAGGAGAAGATAACTAAATTTGGCTTCCAGACATAGAATCAGCCACTTTAGCTATGTTATTCATTTTCACCTAATTACTTAGAAAGACCTAATTTTGCGACTGATGCATGCTGCTACTCCACTGTCAGCCCAGTGCTGGATGAGTAAAAAAAAGCAAAGCACGAACTAGTGAGCGCTGTAGTGATTGCTTTATTCAAGCGAGATGGAGCAAAAATAGCAGATTATGAATGTCCTTCAAAACCAACCTTACTTCAGAACACTATTTATCAAATCCATCAGCAATAATTATGTTGCAAGTAGAACAGTTATATGGTGAGCGGGAAGAAAAGGGACGGCCGAGTTACCACTGAGTATACATATCGACGACGACGGGCTTATCACCGGCTGCTTCAACAATAGGCCAAAAGGTATCTTTGTTTACCTCGGTCACCTTACCCAGCGCAGAAGTAGAAGCAGAGGTAGATTCCGAGTTCGCATTCACCTTCAAGCTCAGTCGTCCTCCACATTTAGAGGGAATGGGCGAGCATCCATGACCCCCCACGACGCCGCAGGCTACAAACTTATTGGTAGTCAAGCGAGACGAATTCAACATTACAGGATTTAACCCCGCCCTATCAACTTGAACACGCAACGCCATTAGTGTATGACAACGGCTACCAGAGGGAGGAGACCGACGCGCAGTGGCGAGGCGTTTCCGTGGTGGCGTTCTTTGACCACACAATGCGATCTTATCTATGGACTTCTCTCCTTTTGTGGCGGGGAGGAGTTTGCTTAACTTTTGTGGCTTAATTTTTTGGAAAAATGATAACAAAGTAAGAATGATTTAGAATTATACTATGTATAACCTTTGTCAAATTTAAAACGGGACAATCATAGCAGGACGGATGTAGTATTTTGTATATATGTGTACGCATTTTGTGTACATCTAGCACAACTATCTGTCTTACGCTCTTAAATGAAATGTGGTCTAGGTAGCACCGATACCTCAGGGTATCATATTTATATGAAACTTATTACTCTGTAAAAGTTTTTAACTTTTTTGATAATTATTTTAAATTGTAAGATACATGTAAGTTAATTAATACACGCATCAATTTTTTTATAAAAAACATCCAAAAAAATAATAAGAGTCTCAAAAAATAAAAGCAAAAATGAAATTTTACCTTGGTTTTATCTTGGAGTCTGTAATGGAAGTTTGTGAAAATAGTAGCTTTAATATTTATTAGAACTTTTACTTTTCTATTAGAGTGTTGTTTTCCAGCTTCATTGAGAATCTTTTATCCAAAAATTTCGGGTATTTGCATTTTTAATTCAAAACTGTGGTTGTTTGACTCGTTTATTATTTCAAATCAGTTCCATATTGACTATATTTATATTTCGAGATGTATAGTGTATTAGTGTATATGAGATAAAGTATAAATTGATTTCTAACCATCTTGATTGTGTGAAATGCTTCAATGCAATGAATGTATATGGGATAATATATGTATATATTTTTTAAAATATTTTTATTTTTAATATTTATACATACACACCTATAATTTTTAATATTTATAAACACACTCTTATAAATACCCCCATGTATGTGTATCCTACTCTTTTTTTTGTTTTCTCGTATCCATGTACACGTTTCCGGTATCTATGATTCTTAGATTCCATCAATTATGGATGGAGGTTCACGGGCTGAGTTTAATGTTGATTAATGTCGTCAACGATGGCAGATGACTTTGCCACATGCTCAAGTAAGCTTCTTCTCAAACTGCTCTGCTTTCTTCTTCCACGACTATTCTATTTTCTTATCATTTGAACTTTAAATATGTCACAATAGCTATTTTGTAGAACACTGATATGCATTAATGTCACTTTTATAACATTACATTTATCAAGGTGACACTTTTATTTTACATCTTTATTACATCAATAAGTCTTGGTGTACACCCTCGGTTATACCCTGGGGTACACCATATATAAGGCTCTTCTTTTTTACCCCATCCTCCCACACCTTTCACACACACAGCCCTCCCCTCCCCATCCCTCACGCACGTTTCTTCTTCCCACTTTTCTCTTTGGTTTTTTATTTGTTTGCTTCCAGATATCATGGATGGAGAAGTAATCGGAAACAAAGGAGAAGATGGAGCTGCGATGGAGGACGGAAATGGTGGAGTTGTGAGCGAGGAAGATGGTGGTTTGAACAACGCGAGGGACGAAGACTTAGGCAGGACGGGTGGCGGACTTGTGACACAAGGCGTCAATGAAGTTCTGACATTTGATGGCCGAGATGATTACAACTTTGAAGGGAAGGGAATAGTAGGGGGAAGACGACTGCATATGTTGGAGGTATATTCTTCGACATACACAGACAGGTTACATACTCAGTGTCGGTGTGTACCAACAACTAATGTCGTTGTGTACAGAGTAGTGTCAGTATATATAGACAACTGCAAATGAAGGTTTGGAAGAAGACATAATAGCGACGATCATGTGAGATATGAAGGAGGCACAAGTGCAAATGAAGATTTGGAAGAAGATATAATAACGATGGGTGACGGACCTGCAAATAAAGGTGCGAAGCACCACAGAGTTGGGATTTGTGCATTCTGACTGTACCGACAACTAGTGTACCTATGTCAGTGTGCACAGACAAATGAAAGCCTCTTGAGTGATTGTCCTGAAAATTAGTGTCGGTGTGAATATACTAATAGTGTTTTTGTAGGTGTACACAGACAGTATTAGCTTTGTAAGTATTTGTGTGGCAATTGGCAATATGGTTTGAGTTTTAGTAATAAGTGGGTTGTTATGTAAGATTAGCGAAGTGTAAAGGGTTTTGTTGTGTGAGTTACATACAAAAGTGAGAGATTGATGAAGGGATTCAGTTTGTAAGTGTCATGTTTCCAATATGGTTGGAGTTGGAGTTGTCTGTGAGCTTCATATGATGTCTGTGGCATTCATATAGTTGTGTGTGAGCTTCATGTTAGTTGTGTGCGAGATTCATATTGATGTATATGAGCTTCATATTAGTTGTTTGTGAGTTTCAGCTAGTTGTCTGTGACATTTACATTTTTGTCTGTGAGCTTCATATGAGTTGTATGTGTGACACTATAAGTTGTCTGTGTAATACTACACTTGTCTGTGTAATAATAAAAGTTATTTGTGTGTTAATAGAAGTTGGCTATGTAGTAACACCAATTGTCTGTGCACCAATAGAAGTTGTCTATGTACTAATAGAAGTTGTCCGTGTAGTAATACAAGTTGTGTGTGAGTCACAAAAGTATAAAAAATTAAAAGCGATTTGTGTTACATTACAACAAAATTAATGACATGTTCAAATCTAAATCTTCCACATATGCGGTCGCCACTTCATCTCCAACTTCAAGAACATTGACTTGCTTCGCATTTTTCTCGGGTCTTACCTAAATAAATACAACGTATGTGTTAGTGCAATTTAAGAGACAACACATTCATATATATGTACAAATGCTATATATCAATCACCCATTCTTTATATTTATTTGAACTTTTGTTAGTGCACACATACAATAATAACAACTACACATATATTATCGTTGGTGCACACATACAATAATAACGACTAAAGAGATATTACTTTTGGTGTACACAGACAATATGAACAAGTCACAAACATATGTGTAGACACAATAATAGAAAGTACATAAATATTACCCTCCTCGTTGTTGTACCCCCTAAAGCGCCCTGGAGGCGAATGTATTCATGTTATTTCAACAATTGATCGAACGACATTCTCACAAGCAACAGTATGAAGGATAAATATCAAAACAAATAAATGTGAAGTTTATTTATGGACAAATATGCACAAGCACTAGAAATTTATTTATGAACACAAACCAGGGGCGAAACTACCGGGGGGCAAGGGGGCCGGTGCCCCTGCTTCGGCCACCGAGCTAGGATATATATAGGGGTATGGGGCCATCAGAGATCTCCGTTGAACAATTCCGGTGAGCAGGGGTTGAGGAAGATGGAGTCGTTCGTCGCAGGGGTTGAGGAAGACGGAGGTTTTTTCATTAAACAAAACGATGTCGTTTTGTTTCGGGTTGAGGAAAAAAAAATTGGGCCAATCGGGCTTGGCCTAGCCCAGCCCAGCCGCCTGCAGCCCAAAGTCCAAACCAAAACCCTTTCCCAATTCCTGTAATCCACTGCAGCGAAGAGCCGAAGAAGTGAACCAAAGCCAAGGCGCAACTTCACGCAAGCAGACTGCGACAGCCAACAGACCAGCTCTCCAGCCACCGGCCCACCACCGGCCCCACCGGTCACAGGGGACGCGCCGCCGCCGCCAGTCTCCACTCCACCAGCCGTCCAGCCGCCAGTTGCCGATTTCACGATTTGGTATGTTCCAACTACCTATTTTTTCACTTTTAAATTAAATCAAATTTGGTATTTCACTATTGATTTTTTTAAATTCATAGTTATGATTTGAAAAAATGTAGTGTAATTGTGTAAAATAGATTGAATTAAATATAACGGTTATGTGTTATTGTAACTTTTTGTGTTAATGTATTGTTTGTATTAATGAAGTATTTATAATAGATTAATAATTCGACTTGAATTAATTATTTGTTGTTTCGATATTTGTCATTAGGGGATGTCAATTGAGAAGTATTTTCCCCGAAAAAAACATCAAAAAGTTTGAATGCTAGTTCTTCAAATGTTTCTGATTGTCAGATTGTGTAGTCTGCTACGTAGAAAGAGACGTGTTTAGACGCATCGATAATGAGGTTATTATCCAACATTTTCAGAACATGAGGACCCATAGGTTGGATTTAACACTATTACGTTAACCATTTTGATTAAATTTGATATGTTTTACTAGTGTAATTTGTTAATACAATTTAATAATTAATGTGATGATTTAGTGCCCCTGCTTATTTTTTTCTCTAGTTCCGCCACTGACACAAACTAAAGGTGAAGTTGACAAACAACTTTTATGAAGTCCAAAAGCAACTTTGATTAAGACCACAGACAAGTAATATGAAGCTCACAAACAACAATATGACTCACATGCATGAATATCAAACTCACAGACAACTCATTTCAAGCTCTCAAACAAGAAATTGAAAGTCAAATGCAACAAATATGAAGCACTTCATATCTGTATCAAATGATTTCATCAATCTCCCACATTTGTATATAACTCACACAACTAAAGCACTTCAAAATATACAACAAACACCAACAATTCCATATCATAAATAACAATATGAATGACACCAACACGCCAAATGGCTTCAACAACCTGTCACTTTTGTATATAACTAACATAAAAAACTCATATGTAGTTCACCAATCTTGCGTAATAGCTCACAGACAACTCCAAGTCAAACCATCCGGAGACACAAACACTGCAATTCAAAGATATTCGTAGATACAACATTCATTTTTGTAGCTATACATTATAGTAGTACGGTATATATTAACAACATTCATAGATATTCAAAAAAGTTTTAATAGGTATACATTAACTAAATGAGGATTTCTTCAGTATATATTAACAACATTCATAGATGCATTAAATCATTCATACATACAACATTCCTTTTTGTAGGTATACATTAACTCAATGAGGATTTCTTCAGTTGTCTATACATACCGACACTACTTTGTACACAACGACATTAGTTGTCGGTACACACCGACACTGAGTATGTAAGATGTCTATGTGTGTCAAAGAAATACCTCCAACATATGCGTTCGTCTTCTTCCTGCTATTCCCTTCCCCGTCACAACTGTAATCATCCCGGCCGTCAAATATCGGAACTTCATTGACGCCTTGTGTCACAGGTTCGTCACCCGTACCGCCTAAGTCTTCGTCCCTAGCATTGTTCGGACCACCATCTTCCTCGCTCACACCTCCACCATTTTCATCCTCCGTTGCAGCTCCATCTTCTTCGTTCACAGCTCCCCCATTTTCGACGTGCAAAGCTTCTGCGTTTCTTCCATTTCTGTTGTCCGTCGTCAGCCGCAAGTAGGTGTCTTCCAAACCTCCTTCGTTTCTTGTTACTTCTCCATCCACCATCAAGTATTCTAGAAAATCATCATGGAAAGAAAAGCGGGAAGAAGAGAATGAACAGAGAGGGATGGAAAGAAATGTGCATGGAGAATGGGGAGGGGAGGGTTGTGCGATAGGAGGGTAAAGAAAGCAGTAAAAATTTGGCCCTTATATATGGTGTACCCCAAGGTGTACGTAACTCTGGGTGCACATCAAGACTTATTGTTATTACATTTTCAAAGTAGAAGATAAGGAGTGACGGCCACATGTTTTGAGTAAAGATGTTAGTTTCATGAAATTCTTAAAAGACCGATGTTAGTTTCATGACATTCGTAGAAGAAAAGGAGGAAAAAGAAAAGGAAGAGGAAGGAGAGGAGCTGAATGGGGGAGGAAGAAGAATACATGAAATTATGATATTGGTGTTAGTTATCTCCCGATCAGAAGAGAGAACATGGAGGAGAGGTAGAGACGTTTCTAATGTAATAAAAAAGGGGAGAAGGTGGAGGAGGGCAGAATTCCTGAATTGAAAAAATAGAACGAAGGTGGAGGTAGTGATAGATTAAAGTCGATCGAGAAGAATATGAGGAGACGAGTCTCAGAGGAGGATGTTGGAGCTGCAGGCGACGCGTCAGAGACGAGGCCGGATAATTCTGGAAATTTTCAGCAGCCAGAGGTAGACCGGCGGCAGAGCTCCAACACCGATGATGGTTGGCCCAAACCTGTAGAGTATCATTATCCAAGCTGGAAAATACTGCTATTTTTGAAAACATATATCGTAGAATGTCCAACCCCAAGGCCCCCACCCCGACCCGAATGGATGTTGGGGAGGTTAATCACGGTGACTCAGTCAGCAAAGCGGCTGTAGACCTTATACACATGCGCATCAGAGGTCCAACCTTATTTCTTCTGTAACCTCCACACGGCCGCTGCGGGTTTCGAATCTTGGTCACTTGGTCCAATTTTCCCACCACTCGACCAACTGAGCTACCCGTGCGGGTCATACGTCTATTTTTACACTTACCACATTTTTTTTTTATTTGAGGAATTCTCTGAGAATCATTCTTTGTCTAATGTTGACTATTGTGTTGAAGTTGATTTTCTGGTTTTGGGGACTTCCATTTTAGCTCAAGTGACGATCCTCTTTTTGTCGTTCGTATTATGTACCGTATATAGGAGCAAAGAATTCTTGTGTTTCTCAAGAATTAGTCCTATTTTTTGAAGGTTATTCTTCTATCAAGACCAGTTTTATTTTCGGGGAAAATTATTATTAGCCCTCTGAATCATAATTATTAATGCAATCTTTCATTTTCAAAAATCAATTAGTTAGCTCCTATGTTTTGATCATTCTCACTATATATCCCATCACATTAATATTTGTTAAATTAAACTTAATATACCTCTTAAATTCAATGAAAGTTGTACATAAAAACAATTTTTTAACTATAATACAATTTATTATCATAATTATAAGTCATTGTCGATGATCGTTTGTTTTTCTACTTAACTACTCGATCGTGAAGTAACTATTAATGAGAGTAGTTACGGGGAAGACTCACGAGTAATATTCATGGAATACATAAAAAGAACTGTTTCTAAAATGTGGTCAAAATTTTGGGAACTTCTTCATTATAAATATAAAAGTCTTATTTGTAATTCATCCGGTTGAACTAATCGCAATGACATTTCTTTCGTGTGTAGCAAAGAAGAAATACCAAGAATTTTTTATCATTCCATGACCTAAAAGATAGGTTTAGTATCAATAAGGGACTTAAAAGATAAAATGTGTGATGATTTTGATTATTCTAATTATTTCATGGTCTGAATAATTCAAAGCTATCAATCCAAGACCTAAAATATCCTAGATTTTAATTTATTTTAATATTTTATTAACCCTGCTACTAATTTGTGATGATTTTATCTTCACACAGTTTTTTTTGAATGTAAAAAGTTTATTAGTTTTATAAGATTAAATGATATTTAATTTTTTAAAATAAAAATATTAAAAATTCATGATAGTTTTATATCTTACTCGTGATTATTTTCTCTTAATTACTCTCAATAATATTTATTCCACGGTGGTGTAGCTAAGTAGAAAAATAACGATCACAACAATGACTTATAACTATGATATTTCCAATTCCTTTAGGAATATTATGATCATCAATCATTTAATTCAATTTAAAAAGGGATGACTAAAGATTACACCAATGGTTTGACATAGATATCAAAGTACATTCTTGATATTATTCCAATGACGATATACGATGTGTTGCTCCTCAGCTATTTTTAGCTAACACGTTATTGAGAATGTAATATTTGGTCGAATGTGTTTGTCAGAGTACAATCATGCGCATATTGCACTTTCACAGGGAATTCCTTTTCCCAATAACTTTCCAATAATGAATATATTTTCTAGCATCCATATTTCGACCAATCATGGGAGTGCTAACAGTTTACATTTATCCATGTCAATTTGCCCGAGAACCTTTTTGGATATATGCAACTGGTGAACTATTATTCAACCAACAAGGTGTTTTCAAAACAACTCGAGTTTCCCAAGATCCTTTATCTCAATTATGACTTTCAAGTATCTGAGATTTCTCATGTTCTTTAATATGAGTATATACCATGTCTATATCTTCGACATATAATGATACTTGGAGGGATAATATAATCTATCTTTTTCTATACCTTTTCAGTCAAGTGGTCACTTAGACGGGTATGTCACTCTTGTCTGGATTGATTTAATCCAAATGTGAACGTTTCAATGTAAATATACAATTTAATTTAAAACCACTTGATTAAACATAACAAATACTTCATATACATCTCTTTAATGAAATTGTATTGAGCCATTTAATATCCACATTCTTTAGCTGTGTCTCCATTACTTTGGAGTCTACTTATAGGTTAAGTAGTTGAACATTTTTGTGTTCAAAATAGAGAATTATAACTTTTCATATTTGAATCCAGGGCGTTATGAGAATAATTAGGACCTCATTATCTCAATACGCTTTCTAACAAAGAATTATTTAATGTCCTACAGGCTTTACACTTGGTTGGTTAGCACTATCATACCAAATACCTGTCTCTTTGTCAAATATTAAATTTATACATGGATTACTTACACATTTAGGCCAATATTCTCACTGCTTTCATATAGCAATAGAGTATGGTTCGATATCATCGTGCTCTATACTCCTTTGAGCAACCGTATAAATATATCATTGTGTAAGGTCTATCTTTTGACTCAGACACACTCTCATTACCATTGAAATTTTAATTCTCTGAAATCATTTGAATTTCGGGGCGTCCCCCATTATTGATTCATGGACATTTAGTCAGAGACAATCTCGTGAGAGAACTCATATGATGACGAGTATATTGGTTTGTGCCTTATCTACCCTCTTACTACATGGGGTGGATAATTAATCGAACCATGTGACTTCCCTCTATTCCTTTAGAGAGTCATGACCTCAACCAAAACCCCACTGTTTGTGGTTGCAATGCTTCTTTCTTTAACATTGTTTATTTTAATTTGAATTCAAGCCTTATAAATATATTTACAGCTAGTGTATGTGGTATGACCTGGTCACTTACATTTCTTATGGTGATTCTAATCCTTTACTTCATTATTACATTTTGAAGTTTTGAAATCATTGTTAAGACATGATAGGGATGTACCATAACGATTCCTATCATTCAATTAGAGAATTCTCTATCTTCTCCCCCTAATGACAAGAAAGTCGACTGTCTTTGTAACATCGTCCCCAAGTATATTTACTCTTAGTAAATCATGTAATAAACCTTGAATAATGATTTATGAATTTACGAGGTTGTACTTTTTGTTATTACTTTTGCGTGAATAGTGAATTGCACGTGGGGACCACATCGGGAGCAGGGACCACCCGATAATCTCGGGACCACATATTATATTCATCTTGGTCTAGATAATATTTATATGGTGGTGAATATTTTAATTGGGTCATATAAAGGGCATAGGGTTGACCCATCAATCAAACGAAACCCAATTATCGGTATTGGTAACTTATCGGATAACGATCCGAAATGAATTTCGGAGACTTCTAAATTAAAGTTGGGGAACGTACATCCATTCTAAAGGCCTACAATGAGTAGGAACATGTGTTATATTTTATTTGACCCGATAAAATAAAATATAATTAAAACAGTCTGAGAAATACAACTTTCGGGGCCGATTGTACACTTCGGGACACAAAGGGATGACCTCCCACATGAGTGGGGGCCACCCCAGGTTTTTATGAGCTCAATTAGACAAGAGGGGCTGGAGTTGACAAAGGAAGGAATGGGGGAGAGTCATTTGGCATCTAAAGTACCAAAGAGGACCCCTCACCCTCATTTATTTGCCAATTAAGACAAAAAGTGCACGTCCCCTCTCACCCTTACCTCCTTAGCTTGACCTAGACTTCAAGGAAAGAGGAAGAAGCTCTCAACCAAGCCTCCATAGCTGGAAAAATTCGAGCTCAACAATAGAGGTCCAAAGAGGAAGCTTAAAGAAGGAAAAAGTTAGGGAAAGTGTGAAGGATTAAGGTAATAACTTTATAATAACTTTTCCTTTACTTTTAATCTATCATATGAATGGTATACCATATGGAGGACCCCTAGGATTTATTCTACATGTTTAGAAGTGTAGAACGAGGGGTTGAAAGGTAGTTCTACATCGTGCTCATATTGGACTTAGTTCTAAGTCCAATAACCTTTTAGAGGTTATTTGTATTGATATGAGTTTGTAATGATAAAAACATGTTAGGAGCTTAGCTAAAGAGTTTCTAGAGTTCGCCGGAGTTTCGCCGGAGTTCAACCGAGGAGCGTAGAACACGCTAAAGCTCATTTAAGGTGAGTGGACGGCTTAATATCTTATAACTTTTGGGTTAATTATGAGATTACCTAAATAAATGTTATATGTATTCATAATGATGTTTAAAAGATATTTAAACATGTGATTAGCCAAATGATTAGGCATGTATGAAATGAATTACATGAATATGCATGGAATATGATGAGAATTTCTATGAAATTGCATGCTAAGTTTGAAAGGTAAAGGAAGCATAGAATGAATATTATTAACTTACTATATATATGATGATTAAGTTGATATGTATAAGGCTTGAAATGACAGTTAACGAAAATGTTGACCGATTGATGATGGATTAATTAATACTGGTTGATATTAGTTAATTATAAATTTATATAAATGCATGACTTTGCGTGAATTGAGATACATAAGCTTTATGGATTTATTTAGGTATGAATATGATATAGACTCTATCTAGGTTGATAGGAGGTTGATCATTGGATTGTAAACTTGGTGGAGGACCCTATGACTTGAAGTCCTTAACACTCATATTATAAACTTGGTGGAGGACCCTAGGACTTGAAGTCCTTAACACTCATATTATAAATTGGTGGAGGACCATAGGACTTGAAGTCCTTAACACTCATATTATAAATTAGTGGAGGACCCTAGGACCGGAAGTCCTTAACACTCATATTATAAATTGGTGGAGGACCCTAGGACTTGAAGTCCTTAACACTCGGATTATAGATTGGTGGAGGACCCTAGGACTAAAAGTCCTTCACACTCAAATATAAATTGGTGGAGTACCCAAGGATTATGTTATCCTCAAAACTCATAGATTATGATATTGAAATAAGGATAAGGAGGAGTCCTATACACTCATAAGTCATAAGTATATGGGTGGGTTGGGTTTTTTAGTCAAGAATATTGACTATTACTATTTTCCCCAAATAAAACGGTGATCTGCGGATCGGGTATTTTCCAAGTGTATATATACTATTAAGTATTTCTTAACTTGGGGGGAAAGACTATTTACATAAGTATCACCCTATGTTTGGGTCTTATACTTGAAACATTAGTTATTCTATATTTAGCCTGCTACTCGTTCGGTGCTTGTACTGACCCCTTCAGGGGCCCACCATTTTCAGGTTGAAGCTAGGGCTTGCTACCTGCACCTTTCCACGGGTGACATCCCATTTCAAGGAAGATGTGCTTCGTGCTTCCTCATGTTCTTTCAAATTACTAAACATTGCTCATAGATATTTTTATTTGTTTAAAATTACTTTTGGGCTTGCATGCCCATGTTATTGGCCGAATGTGGCCTATGAATTACCGCTGAATATTTCCGTTATTCAATGATTTAATTTGTGATGTTGTTATGTATGTTTACTACTGAGTATGGATGGATTGTTTTTTCGAACGCCTTGTATGATTTAGCGAAGTTGACCCGCGGGTGACGTCACTCGATTATACGGCGATTGTACACGCGTTTCGATTGCGGTTTGGGGATTCATATCCAACACAAAATTATTTGTCTTTTAAGACCGATTATAGTGCGCTGTGGGAGGCGCATTAGGCACAATTAGTTAACAACCATATATGCATAAGTTAAAAATCTCAGGCTAAGATCTAGTCATCAACTAGTATACACAAAAGTGGTTGTCTACTATCGGTCTAAAAAAATGTGTAAGAGTGCCTCCAATATTGCATAATCCCATGAAAAGAATGATTAATTAGTGTACGCGTAAATGCGTAATAGATATAATATTCACCATCTACATTCTTTTAGATGTGAACTTTACTGAGATATTATTTTTCACATGGGATGCGAGATGTTTTTCATTGATTTCGAAAAATATGCAATAATCATCAAGTACTTTTGATGAGAACTGTCTAGCAGTAACAAGTCATATAGACTTGATTGGTCAGGTGGTGGACCCTTAATAAATATGTTTTGCTAGAAGTTTTGCAAATGCAACATTTTTATGTAAAAGAAAAATAGATAGCATGAGTAACTTTCTACCAAACCATAATTACTTAAATGACCCGCATTTTGGTAGACGAATCCTCACATGTTACATTGTATTAAAAAATGAGATATCTGCATTTTTATATCCTTAGCATAGACAAATCTCGATTCTATTATTACTAAGAAGTAAACTTTGAGAAATAATTGACATATCTACTACTATTGTATTTCTAAGGTCTCACGGAAAGTGAATATTTCTTCTTGTACTTTAGAAGATGAATAATGTTGTGCTATTTAGCAATGTTGAGGTCAACAACTTACAATGTGTTGGACTTCATTTCATCCTTTACTCCAATGAATAATGATTTGAATCATGATGGATTATAGGGATCCAAGTATGTATAAAATGTAGAGATTTGAGCTAAAGATAGTGAAGAAGATGAATGAATAGTAGAGTGTGAATAAGTAATTATGTTCTAGGTTTACAAGTGGCTCCAAGAGGAGTATAAATAGGGAAATAATGGGTCGGACCGCTAATATGGGCCCGGTAGCCCAACTACATAAAAGACTAATCTAGTACATAGTTACATACAAATGACATATAAGCAGTACAATAATACAAATGATATCCGTAAGATGTGTGTGGGCCGCTGTCCGGGCCCAATAGTCGTGAGACCCGGGGGTCCGAGTCTATATACTCTATCAGGAGTCCCCCACTCTCTGAGTCGAGAGTATTCGAGGCGAAAGAGAGTAGAACTGTGTGCTGATCTGTCGTCGTCTGGTGAGTAAACTTCGTGAACAAAAATTTGAATTTCTGCTTCTTTGGTTAACGGAGGCGCTAAGTCCCCCGCTCTTCCAGTCCCCCACTCCTTGAGGCGAGTGTAATGAGGTGAAGAGGAGTAGAGTAATGCGTGTCGGATGATGTCTTCAACAGGGGGCCGAGAGTTGACACCTTTTGATCCACGATGGGGAGATGCCTCGTTAAAAACCTCATTAGGAAAAACCCTGTGGGAAAAAATCCTAATGAGGGAAAAAGAGTACACCGGATGCCCCCAAAATGAAACAAAAGGTGCGAGCCCTTCGGCCTGGAGATGGAGCTGCAGCGGTGCCCGTCTGCTGGATGGTCGAGGCCGATCTCTAGATGTGGGTAGCTCATCATGATCAGTAGTCCTAGTCATCAAATAAAGATGACTAAGGGATGGGTCGAGCGACCGTCCACAATATGATGTCTGGTTCATCAAATAAAGATGACCAGAACGTAAGGCCGATGGGCCGAGAGGCCTGTACGAGAGCTCCACGTTTTCAAATAAAGACGTCGGGGCGATGGTGCAGCCGAGGGGTGTAACACCCCGGCCCCGTAGGCCCCGAGGTAGTTACTTCTGACCTCTAGTACTGTCCTCACAAACCGCCACTAGCCTTTTTCCGAGCACTTTGTCCTCACTCGTGCGCGCCCTGAGAAACTTTCCAGGGGGTCACCCATCCCAAGACTACTCCCGTGCAAGCACGCTTAACTTTGGAGTTCTTGGGTGATGAGCTCCCTTAAAAGGAGATGCACCTTGTTGGTATGAATAGTACTATTAATCCTCTTAAATTAATCTCGGGTATTACAATCACCCCCACTTAGGGTCGCAACGTCCTCGTTGCGCCCATAAACCAATATCAATCATATCCCAGAATCTTTTCCCCTGCTAAGTGCCCGCCCGATATCTAACGGATCAGCACACTGTCGGAGGGTTGCTCTGATACCATTTGTAACACCCCGGCCCCGTAGGCCCCGAGGTAGTTACTTCTGACCTCTAGTACTGTCCTCACAAACCGCCACTAGCCTTTTTCCGAGCACTTTGTCCTCACTCGTGCGCGCCCTGAGAAACTTCCCAGGGGGTCACCCATCCCAAGACTACTCCCGTGCAAGCACGCTTAACTTTGGAGTTCTTGGGTGATGAGCTCCCTTAAAAGGAGATGCACCTTGTTGGTATGAGTAGTACTATTAATCCTCTTAAATTAATCTCGGGTATTACAAGGGGCCTGCATAAGAGCTCCACGTCGTCAAATAAAGACGACGGGGCGATGGTGCGGCCGAGGGGCCTGCATAAGAGCTCCACGTCGTCAAATAAAGACGACGGGACGATGGTGCGGCCGAGGGGCCTGCATAAGAGCTCCACGTCGTCAAATAAAGATGATGGGGCGATGGTGCGGCCGAGGGGCCTGCATAAGAGCTCCACGTCATCAAATAAAGACGACGGGGCGATGGTGCGGCCGAGGGGCCTGCATAAGAGCTCCACGTCGTCAAATAAAGACGACGGGGCGATGGTGCGGCCGAGGGGCCTGCATAAGAGCTCCACGTCGTCAAATAAAGACGACGGGGTGATGTATGGCCGAGAGAGGCCTATATGAGAGCTCCACGTCATCAAATAAAGATGACGGGGCGACGTATGGACGAGAGGCCTACATGAGAGCCCCACATCATCAAATAAAGAATACGGGGTAATGTATGGCTCAGAGGCCTATATGAGAGCTCCACGTCATCAAATAAAGATGACGGGGCGACGTATGGCCGAGAGGCCTACATGAGAGCCCCACATCATCAAATAAAGATGTCGGAGTGAGATATGGCCGATGGGCCTGTAAATGAGCTTCGCGTCATCAAATAAAGATGACGAGGCGATATATGCCCGATGGTTCTGCAACTGAGCTTCGCGTCATCAAATAAAGATGACGGAGCAAGATGTGGCTCAGAGGCCTACAAATGAGTTCCTCGTCATCAAATAAAGATGACAGAACGATATATGGCCGATGGTCCTGTAGATGAGCTCTTCGTCATTAAATAAAGATGACGGAGCGATATATGGCCGATGGGCCTACAAATGAGCTCTTCATCATCAAATAAAGATGACAAAGGGATATATGGCCGATGGGCCTACAAATGAGCTCTTCATCATCAAATAAAGATGACAGAGCGATATATGGCCGATGAGCCTGCAAATGAGCTTCGCGTCATCAAATAAAGATGACGGAGCGATATATGGCAGAACTCTGGGCTCCTTTAGCCTTTCGGCCGGAGACCGCAAGATGTTCACTATATCTGAATAGGGGGACAAGGCGGTGGACGCCTGTCTGAATATGAGGACGACGACGATGAGGAGTCGGTCCAAACAATGATGATGATGCGATGGTGAAGCCGATCGTCATATAAAGGCGATGGTCACCATCCGGGAAGGGATGGCGAGCCCGATCGCTAGCTCAAGACTCGCGGCGCTGAGGAAGCCGGTCTTGAGATAGATAATCACGCCGAGGCCGAGGGGCCGGTCGTGATATGAGGACGACAACGATGAGGAGTTGGTCCAAACAATGATGACGAGGCGATGGTGAAGCCGATCGTCATATAGAGGCGACGGTCACCATCCAGGAAGGGATGGTGAGCCCAGTCGCTAGCTCAAGATCGCGTTGAGACCGAGGGGTCTTCCGCGATGTGAGCATGGCGGCGATGATGAGCCGTTCCAATAAATGATGACGAGGCCGTGATGGGCCAATCGTCATATAGAGGCGACGGTCACCATCCAGGAAGGGATGGTGAGCCCGATCACCAGCTCAAGACTCTCGGCGCTGAGGAAGCCGGTCTTGAGATAGATAATCACGCCGAGGCCGAGGGACCGGGCATGATGTGAGGACGACGGCGATGAGGGGCCGGTCCAAAAATCCATGCAACGGTCGTCATTCGGTAAAGGAATGACTAAGACCGGTCTCGAGATAAATAATCACGTCGAGGCCGAGGGGGTCGATCGTGATATGAGGACGACGACGATGAGGAGTCGGTCCAAATAATGATGACGAGGCGATGGTGAAGCCGATCGTCATATAGAGGCGATGGTCACCATCCGGGAAGGGATGGCGAGCCCGATCGCTGGTTCAAGACTCGCGGCGCTGAGGAAGCCGGTCTTGAGATAAATAATCACGCCGAGGCCGAGGGGCCGGTCGTGATGTGAGGACAACGTCGATGAGGAGCCGATCCTATAATTTGATGACGAGGCGCTGATGAAGCCGATCGTCATATAAAGGCGATGGTCACCATCCGGGAAGGGATGGCGAGCCCGATCGCTAGCTCAAGACTCACGGCGCTGAGGAAGCCGGTCTTGAGATAGATAATCACGCCGAGGCCGAGGGGGTCGGTCGTGATGTGAGGACGACGACGATGAGGAGTCGATCCTATAATATGATGACGAGGCGCTGATGAAGCCGATCGTCATATAAAGGCGATGGTCACCATCCGGGAAGGGATGGCGAGCCCGATCACTAGCTCAAGACTCGCGGCGCTGAGGAATCCGGTCTTGAGATAAATAATCACGCCGAGGCCGAGGGGGCCGGTCGTGATATGAGGACGACGACGATGAGGAGTCGGTCCGAATAATGATGACGAGGCGCTGATGAAGCCGATCGTCATATAAAGGCGATGGTCACCATCCGGGAAGGGATGGCGAGCCCGATCGCTAGCTCAAGACTCGCGGCGCTGAGGAAGCCGGTCTTGAGATAGATAACACGCCGAGGCCGAGGGGCCGGTCGTGATGTGAGGACAACGGCGATGAGGAGCCGGTCCTATAATATGATGACGAGGCGCTGATGAAGCCGATCGTCATATAAAGGCGATGGTCACCATCCGGGAAGGGATGGCGAGCCCGATCGCTAGCTCAAGATTCACGGCGCTGAGGAAGCCGGTCTTGAGATAAATAATCACGCCGATGCCGAGGGGGCTGGTCGTGATATGAGGACGACGACGATGAGGAGTCGGTCCGAATAATGATGACGAGGCGCTGATGAAGCCGATCGTCATATAAAGGCGATGGTCACCATCCGGGAAGGGATGGCGAGCCCGATCGCTAGCTCAAGATCGCGTTGAGACCGAGGGGTCTGCCGCGATGTGAGCATGACGGCGATGAGGAGCCGGTCCTATAATATGATGACGAGGCGCTGATGAAGATGATCGTCATATAAAGGCGATGGTCACCATCCGGGAAGGGATGGCGAGCCCGATCGCTAGCTCAAGACTCGCGGCGCTGAGGAAGCCGGTCTTGAGATAGATAATCACGCCGAGGCCGAGGGGGTCGGTCGTGATATGAGGACGACGACGATGAGGAGTCGGTCCAAATAATGATGACGAGGCAATGGTGAAGCCGATCGTCATATAGAGGCGATGGTCTCCATCCGAGAAGGGATGGCGAGCCCGATCGCTGGCTCAAGACTCGCGGCGCTGAGGAAGCCGGTCTTGAGATAGATAATCACGCCGAGGCCGAGGGGGTCGGTCGTGATGTGAGGACAACGGCGATGAGGAGCCGGTCTTATAATGAGAAACGGCGCTGGGCGCTCGTCTGAGATGATGGACGGCGCTGGGCGCTCGTCTGAAAATCAGGGACGGCGCTGGGCGCTCGTCTGAAAATGATGGACGGCGCTGGGCGCTCGTCTGAGATGAGGGACGGCGCTGGGCGCTCGTCTGAAAATGAGGGACGGCGCTGGGCGCTCGTCTAAGATAAGGGACGGCGCTGGGCGCTCGTCTAAAAACTGAGGGACGGCGCTGGGCGCTCGTCTAAGAATGAAGGACGGCGCAGGGCGTTCGTCTAAGATGAGGGACGACGCTGGGCGCTCGTCTAATCCGCATGTATGGTCTTACTTCGTCCATAATGTGTAATATTTGCCTGATATTTACTTAGTATTGTTGCGGGGATTTCATTTTTTGTTGCTCGAGGACGGCAAGTGCGTGCGGTCCTCGGCTTCCCTCTTTTATTTTTTCTTTTTCCTTTTTTTTTATTTCCGTTTCCGTTCCCTATTTCGGGGAGTATCCTTCTTTCAGGCTTCGGCCGAAGGGTGTGCTCGTCCTTCGGCCGGTTCGGACTTCGTTTATAACGTCCGTGATCTCGGGGGGGGGGGGGGTCCCGTCGCCTATTTATGACGCGGGCTAGACTTTTGGTTGGTTTCCAATGGCTGCCGTTGCCCATCCCTGAGTTTTGGGATTTTGTCACCTTGGCCATGATTTCAGGCCTGTCGTCTTGCGATCTGGCGCGTGGACGGCGCGGTGAGCTTCCCGTTTCAAGACGTGGGCCGTTTGCGGGCCCCTCGTCCTGGGGACATCGTCGGCCATACCTGAGCGTTTCACTCTAGGCTTACGGGGCCAGGACGACGTGCTCTCTCAGCTGGGCCTGAGCCCTTCGCTGATACAAAATACAAAGTGGAGCAGACCTGAGCCTTTCGCTCGAAGGCTGCTGATACGACACGTGGTATCTTCTATTTACATTTCCAAAAAATAAGCGGAATACAATAGGTGCGTTGTTCATGGCAACGGCTTTTGGGCGACGCGATTAGCGTCTCGGAGAACGAGGTGTATCGTTTACCGCTCTCGGGCGTAATGCCATGTGCGGCCGGTAGCGGCTCTCATTTTTAGATGTCCGAGTCACCAAATAAAGGTGACTAGGGTAGGTCGATGGACCTAAATATAATCCGAATCATCAAATAAAGATGTTCGGTAGACTAGAGCTCGGGTCCACCACTTTGGGGATTTTTGACCCGGTTTAATGCCGGTGATAAAAATAATAACGCCAATAATAATACATCACTAGCGACCTCGGTAAATTTTAATCCCTCATAATGATCTTCACCACCTCGGGGGTTTTTAACCCGCCATAATGGTGGTGGAAATAATATAATTAATAATAGTAATAATTATACTACTATCATTTAATAAATATTTTAAGTGTATAAATAGGAGTATTGGGCACTTAGCTTTTTATTTGGGCCAGAATATTGGGCTGAAATAACATATCCATATAGAAAGTGGATCCATAGCTTTTCCTTTCCTTGCATCAAAACTTTCCTTGTCTGCCGGCGAATACGGGTAGTTGGGGAGGCCCTCCACACCTTTTGACCAATTTTGACCTAGCCCCTAGAATTTTGACCTGCAAAAGCTTTCCCAGGGAGCCGTCCACGGTATATCGTCCAAGGGAGCGCATTGATAATCCTGCGGCTGAGACCCAAGTAAAACACTCCTACTGTGGATCGTCCAAGGGAGCTGTCCACAGCTACTGGGGTGGGGAAGATGACGGCGACGGACCCAGCGGCAGAGTGCAACGATCGAAAGCGATGTCGTCGGGACTCCGTCAGCGCCGGCTATGCTCGCTCAGGTGTCGATGGGGGACAACGATGCTTCTGGCCGGCGTGAGAGTTCCGTATCCATCTGGGCGCACCTGTTCGCGTCCTGTCAATCCCGAAGCTTTTGGCCGCCATTAAGCTTAAGCTTAAGCTCAAGCTTAAGCTTAAGCTCAAGTGACCGAGTCAGATGACTACGGAGTGGCCCAGGTCCGATCCTCTAGTGGCGAAGGCAACCAACAGGATACCGGAGGTGATTTGTTGAGCATCAACCTCCACCACGCGGCGGACAAATAGGTGGGCGCAGATCTAGACGGGAACCAGCAGGACTTGAGCGACGACGGTGCTGGGTTCGGAACGACGGCGACGAGGCCGGGTACGACGTCCCAAACCTCAGCAGATGCACCGGCAGAGGGCAGATGGGGTCGGCAGTGCTCGGCGGTTCAGTTCTTTCCGGCGAGGACATCTCCGGCGAGAGATCCGAGACGCTTTTTTGTTGTTGTTTTTTTCTTATTTTCAGGCTGATTTTTCTGGAATTTTTCCAGAACAGTTTTGGCAGAAATGTTTCTGGTATTTTGGATGAATTTTTGGAGATTTTCTGGGAGGAATCTAACTTGATTTTGCTCTAATCTCTCAACGAGAGCACCATTGATGGATTATAGGGATCCAAGTATGTATAAAATGTAGAGATTTGAGCTAAAGATAGTGAAGAAGATGAATGAATAGTAGAGTGTGAATGAGTAATTATGTTCTAGGTTTACAAGTGGCTCCAAGAGGAGTATAATTAGGGAAATAATGGGTCGGGCCGCTAATATGGGCCCGGTAGCCCAACTACATAAAAGACTAATCTAGTACATAGTTACATACAAATGACATATAAGCAGTACAATAATACAAATGATATCCGTAAGATGTGTGTGGGCCGCTGTCCGGGCCCAATAGTCGTGAGACCCGGAGGTCCGAGTCTATATACTCTATCAAATCAGTTAGTTTAAAGTTTTTATGAGTCAATGCCCATTTTGACTCATAACCTTCTTAAAAATGCATTTTCTTTTTGCATCTATTACATGCAGTATAAGAATTTCTATCTCATTTTTATAACGAGTTTCTATTTGAAGACCCGTTGAAAGTAGCTTGGTGGACAATGATGTCTTCGCAATGTGAGGGTTCGGGGAATCCCCGCAAAAATGTATAAGGAGCAACTCTAAATGGGGAATTTCATTTTTTTTCAAATCATATACGACAGTATAATTTGCGTGTATAATTTACAAAAGGCAGAAACAACATAATAATGAAACATGAAAAACACACGTAATAGCATTAATTAAAAAGGAGGCAACAAATCATGAAGAAAAGATTATTAAAATACGGATGATGTGAAATTCATTGCAATTAAAGGTCCCGAATGATTGATGAAGAAGAAAAGAAAAATAGATATTGCTTTCGATTCCCTAAAATTTGATTTTAAACACACATTCAAACTCAATTGCTAATCAATTTAGGGAAGAATACTTACTGATTGATGAAGATGATAGAAGATCCAATCGGTGAGGGAACTACGTGGAGGGATTCCAGGAGAACATCACCGTCATGAATCATCCTGATAGCTGTTGCAGTCCTTACAATTTGATTTTGGTCATCAGGCCCAGTGTTGACCGACCCTATAGCAGCATCCAATCTTCAGCAGGATATCTGGCGGCCCTGGTCGATCTAGATGGTGTTAAGCAGCAGGGAGATCTGGAGGATTGAGGGACAGACGGCCGAGTGGGGCTGCAGATTGAGGGAAGGATCAGGGGCGTAGCTAGGATTGAAGGTTAGGTTGGGTCGGTACAAAGAATTTTTCTGATAATTTTTTTTTTCATAAATTTTTAGACTAAAAATACAAAGAATTTTCAAATTTGGGGCGGGCCGTGACGCGGTTGGCCACCCCTCTAGCTTCGCCCCTGGGAAGGACGACTGTGTGTGTCGCTAGGTTGAGGGGCGGCCGATTGTGTGCTACCACAGGCGTGCTAGTAGAATTTTGGGAGAGCGAATGGTAGGGTTAGAGTTGTGTTGATAACGTATTGTAGGGAGAATTGTGTGTATAGTTTCATTATCAAAGATCCTATAAATAGGGAGATATTAGGGTTTACAGAGACGGGCCAATGGGCCCATATAATACATAGTTTACGTAGAATGATCCTAATACACATTTTATATACACGATGACATACTACACATAATTTCCTTCAATCGAAAACGCGAAAGAAAAAAATTAGTAAGGTGCATTAGAGTAGTTGAGTCGGGCACGCTGTTGGGTATGTTGTCTGGTGTTGTGTAATCATGTTTGGTGCCTGGTCTCAATAGTCCTATGCGTTGATTCATTGCGTCTTTTGGATTTTTTTGGAAACAACAACCGTGAAACCTTCTTCCTCTGATGGTATATGAGTCATTCTGTTTAATTGTTGATCCAAATTAATTTGTTTCTCCTGGGCCTTTTGCTGCATTTTGTGATCAAGCTCTTTTTGAAATAATTGAAATTCAGCTTTAATGTTGGCAAAAAAAGTTATGATAATCCTGTTTTGTTTCCTCTCCAGTTGTTGCACTGGAAGCGTGAGCCTTCACTTCATCAACAAAAACAGCCCCAGGCTCTTCATTCATAGAATCTAAGTCTTTATGAAACCTTTCGGCCTCTTCTTTATCAAGAGAAACAATCATCTTCTCTAGATGCTCTGTAGATATAAGACCCTCAATATCAACTTTAAATAACATCTCAGAAATGGATAAAACATTCTGAGAAGAAATATCCTCGACCCAATCACTACATTGCACCGCCATATCTGAAAGGGAAATTATCATTGACCTCCCTCGAGGTTTCATGTATTATCACTTAGGCCCCTGCACTATTAAAAATATACGCTTACCCCCTTCCCATCCTTTAATGGAAGTTTAATAACTCTTAATTACGTTTAGAAAAAGTATATATTTAGTTTTATAAATTTACTCACTTGCAGATTTAATTTGATAACTAATAAATGTATGTGTATTAAGAATCTTTCCACTAGAAAGTACCTTTTATGGAACACGTACTTTCCAATGAAACAGCCCTTATTATTGATAAATTTATTAGGTACATAACTACTACATCTACACGTGAGTATAATTATAGGACTAGTAGCAGACACAATCAAAAAGTAGGAGCTTAAAACAATAAGAGTTTGTTTGGTAACACTGAAATCGGTTGAATCGGCTGATTCTAGTGAGATTTACAAAATTCTGGCTAAAGTGTCTGTATTGGCTGATTCTGCTGATTTATGAAAAGTTATATTTAAAATATATTTTATTAATAAAATAGAGAAAAAATTATATAAAAAATAGCTAAAATTGTCATCTATAGTAACTTCAGCTAATACAGCCAGAAAAGTAATTCCAACTTAACTTTTTCTTATTTTTACACAGTTCAGCGTGCGAAAGCAAAAATTACATGTTTAGTTAAAAAGTTTGCTCATAAACCTGATAAGCCAAAAAGCAAGTCACCAAATGGGCTCTAAATCTCTATTACTTTTAAAAGTTCAAAAATATATCTGAGATTGTAGAAATCTTAGTGAAACTTTTCTAACGAGGGAAAGACACTCAATAACGAGGAATGTTATTTCATACCTAAAACAGATGTTGGTGAAAGACTTTTAGGATACTATTTTTATCTATTGTAAATTTGCATGTGAAATACTTACTTTTGTGGTTCATATTAGGGGAGGATAAGGCCCGGTCTCGCGAATGACTGGTCTTTGAATTAAAATTTTAGGTCTGGACCGAGACTAGACCGGTGAAAAACAGGCCTCAGGCCTCACTTTTTGGGACCGGGTTTGGAGCCCATATTTTGACCCCGTTCCATTTAGTTTCATTAAAACCATTGGAAACATTTTAAATTGGGTTATAGTCCATTTAAAAGTTGAAAAATAGGTAGTTAAAAATATTTAAATGATTGGGACCGAACCTAGACCAATTAGAAGATTGGAACCGAAGATAAGGTCATGAGCCGCTCTAATTATTTAGCACTAATCAGTTTGGGTGTGGAACCTGTCTTAAAGTATAATGTCTTTACCAGTAATTTACATGTAAACATGTTCATATTTTGTAAAATATTAATTTACAAGTTATTATTATACTTATATGATCTCATTTCTAGTGATAACAAAGAGTGTCTAGAGTGCAAATTGGGAATTTTCTTGCATTCAATTTTTAATGGTAAAATCGAGTAGTAAACTTCACTTTTGAGTCGGTTTGGTTCATTTAAGTTGATTTATTTCGATTTTTGACAAATTTAGTATATTTTGATCATTTTTGATTGTGTAAATTTACTCACTTTACAAATTCAAAGGCATAAAACGAACTACCTAGAGAGTGAGGTCAATTTTGGTCATTTTTTATTTTGTTCGACTTCCGATAAAAAGGTCTTTAGTATGGACAAATTTATTAATTATCCGATCAGATTTGTGATTGAATAAAATTACAATATTAAAAGCGGACATAACGGATAACTATGGAATTATATCTATAATTTTATCTAAATATAGATTAAAAGCGGACATAACGGAGTATTTAACCATCATTAAAGGATTAGGAGGGGGTAAGAGTATATTTTTGATAGTATAAGGGTGTGATTGATAATGGATCAAACTTCAAGGGAGGTCAATGATAATTTCCCTATCTGAAATAATTTCTCCCTGTGCAAGTAGTATTTTCCGCGGGTCGGATGTAGATGTACTCATCATTTTGATTGTTGTTGATAACCCTATCAAAAAGCTCTCAATCCCTAACCCTTTTCGACCCCACGGAACAAAGAGAGAGTCGTAATTCTTTTCTATTATCCAAATAGTCCCCGAAACGATTAGAATTTGTCCGAATAGTTGGAGAATTTCCAAATTCTAGTCGATGACAAGCCCATTTATCCCTTAATATCTTAACCAAAGCATCTCTCAACCAATTGAGTTTTTCAAGATCAAATTCAATTGTTGATAAAAGTATCTGCTTCAATCTCAAATATGTGTAAGAAATGGAAATCAAAAATATCAAATCAGAACAATTTACTTTCAATGGAAAATTGAAAGCATTTCAGTAGGCTATTTTTACCTTCAATATCCTTCCCCCCGATTGTCCCTTCAATGGAAAACGCTGATAGCCTTCTCTCGTGTCTAGCTCGGATCTGAAAAGGTCCCCTTTGACTTCGGCTTTGTGAAATCCCACACCCCCAAGCAGTTCTGAGCAAAAGAGTCCCCTGCGGTGTGTAGGGGTGGTTCGGTACGGTATACCGAATATTTTCTCTCATACCTTTACCGTACCGAAACTTTCGGTATACAAAATTTATATACCATTACCTTACCGAAGTTTCGGTATACCGCATTTCGGTATACCGAAGTTTCGGTTCGGTAACGGTACGATATCGGTAAATTACCATGCATGTCCCCCGATTCAAAAAATTATCATAGACTAACAAAATATAGTAAATCGGTGTACTAACGACGTATTTAATCCATTATTAAAATGTTACAAAATACAATTAATAATCTATTGATGTCATAATCAATATTGAACAATTATTATTATTAGTATATTTAAGCAGTTCAACATATTTAAATAACTTGAGCAATATAGATATAATTAAATGAATAGTGATCACTAACAAAAATAAATAAAATTATCCAAACAACATGGATATATATCATTTATCCATAATATGATATTGTGTATTTTTCTTTATAATTTTAAATAAAATATTTGAATAAGACTTTCGGACAAAGTTATGTGCCTCGACTTGCGGAATCTCTATGTCGATACACTCGTCGCATAAATGTATCCCTCTTTACTCGTCAGCTACTCAGCGGCTCAGCCATCGCGACTTGCAAGCTTATGGAACAAGATAGACTGGTCCGAACATTAGTACATTACTCATTAGTCATTAGGGTTCGTTTGTTTGAATGTTACGTAGTAGAAGCCTAGAAGGTTATAGTGAGTTTGGGAAATCGGGCCTTTATTTTTTTATTTTAGTATTTGTAACCAACATAAGTATTAATTTTGGGCTTCAAACTTGTAATGGATTTTTACAATAATTTAGAATTTATAGTAATCGCGAGGTGGGAGTCGGTACGGTATTATACCGGTATACCGCGGTATTTGAAAACATTTACCGTTACCGTACCGAAATATATCGGTACGGTATCATACCGTACCGAAAAATACCGGAAAATACCAGAATATTGGTATACCGTCATTTTCGGTACGGTAAGGGCGGTATACTGATTTTTCGGTATTCCTGCCCACCCCTAGCGGTGTGATACCTCGTTTCCGATCCTCGTCGCGTTGAAGCTTGATTTCCTCTCCAACGCCACCGCCCACCTTCGTCCCTCACCTGCTGGACTGGATCCCTTCGCCATCGTTCGTCCATTGCCTGAGACTGCCAGTCGAAGACCGTTGCTCGTCTGCTTGAACTGAGCCTGTCACCCCTCGCTTCTCGCTGAGCTCCATCACGTCTGTTGGGAATCCGCCCTATTTGTCTTCCTAAATCGCGCTCCCAGTATCCACTCTGACCTGGATGTCGCCCATCACATGTATTTGGACGTCGTAGGGCAGAAATTCCCATAGCCTCTCGCTCATTCCCCCTTCTAAGAGCCCTCTTCTTTTTTTACTTTTTTATTTTCTCTTTATGCATGTTTTTGGAAAAATTCACAACAATAATCTTACTTTTCACCGGTCTTATCATAATAATCTCACGTTTACGTAATCTCAGAATAATCTCAACGTTGCATCACATCTTCTTTTGTTGACCATGACCCGTTGATGACCTATTATACTAGATTTTTACCCTTTCTATGAAAACCTTATATAAATAATCCCACCTTTAACAAATCTGCTCAAAACGGTCCCGTGTTTCATTTTTTCTTTTTTTTCCCCAATAAAATTTTTTTATTACTTGTTCTATCACTTTGTTCTTATTTCTTTTCCATTTTTATTATTCTATTTCTCACAATATTAGGAGAGATTTTTTTGTAAAATTTCTCTTCAAAATAGCTCTTTTTGACTTTCTTTTTCTGACCATATTTTTATTTCATTTCCCGTTTTATGTTTTTCTTCTTAATCATTCTCTTCTTATTAAAAAAAGAATGATTAAGAAGAAAATCATAAAAAGGGAAATGAAATAAAATACGGAAAGAAAAAGAAAACGACAAAAAGAGCTATTTTAAAGAAAAATTTCACCAAAAATATATCTCCCAATAGAGTAAGAATAAAATAATAAAAATGAAAAAGAAATAAAAACATGGATTTGTGTCTAGGGATGAAAATAAAGAAAGAAAAATTTTAGGGAGAAAAAAGAAAAAATGAAACATGGACCATTTTGAGCAGATTTGTGAAAGGTGGAATTATTTATATAAGATTTTCAAAGAAAGGGTAAAAAACGTGGTATAGTAGGTCATCAACATGTTAGAGGATTATTCTATGAAAGAAGATAGGGTACAAATGTGAGATTATTCTAGGATTACGTAAATGTGTGATTATTATGAGAAAATCAATGAAAGTTGGGATTAATCTTGTCAAACTTTCCTATCTTTTTTACTTCTATATGAGTATTTTCTATTCTACTGCTTTAGTGATATTGTTGTTAGGGGATGTTTGGATTTACTTCAGAGAACATAAACAGATACAACCTTTCCCGTGTGGGCGGCTATAACAAGAGACCCTGAATCGAGAGCTGCGTGGTGTTCTATCCCTGTTCCAACAATGCATTTCTCGGATCCAGTAAGGGGAACTGCTTGCCGTTGCATATTGGAACTCATTAAGGCTCAATTCGCATCATTATGTTCGATAAAAGGAATGAGGGAAGCTCCAATAGAAAACTATTGGAAGGAAAAAATACTTCGAAGATGAACTTGCTGTAGTCTTTGAGTGAAAATGAAGTACTTATGAGTGCTCCAAATTGCTCATAGAAGTAGGTTTTTAGATGTGGGGGGACCAACTTCTAAAAAACTTATTCTGATTTTTGTATCTCTTCTGGTGCTCCAAACACCCCCTTATTACCTTTTTGAGTAGCTCTTCTGTTTTGTATTTATTTTTATTACTTTATTTTTCTTTTGTTGTGATTGAATAATAATAAAAAACACAAAGAACACAATATAGTGTAACAACCTTACAAAATCAGAGATTTCTTAACTATTCTCCTTTTTAATGATATCAAAATGAACTTTAATTAAAAAAATATTAATTAATAATCACAAAAAATGTAATTTCTAGACTTTGTCTTTAGCTGATGTTGTTGCTCATGTTTTCTCTTCTACCTTCCTCTCATCCTTTCATCTCTTTCTCTCAAGGCATCTTGCTAAAGTTGGTCAGGAAGTTGTTGAGCACTATATACTTTTGATACAGAGAAGCCAGCTCACCAAGCTGATGACAGATGAACACTCCCCTTAAAGTTCTAAGAGCCTCTTGCTTTTGTGCTGACCTGCAACTTCTCCTTTTTTCTCTACGGCTTTCTTCTTCTTTTAGAAGAGACAAAAGAGGTCTTCTTGTCTTCAGAGGTTAGTTGTTGTAACTCTTCTATGAATAGTTTGAGCCTAGCTTCAAGGTCTTGTTCTCACAGGCATAGGCAGGAGCAATAGCTTCAAGGTCTTGAATAGTTGTTTTTACATAAATTTGATGCCAAAAATACAAGCATTTTTCAAATTTGGGGTAGGTCGGGCCCCTATCAGCCCCCCTCACCTTTGCCCGACCGCCCCTGCTTGTTCTTGGGGTAGAGGTTATCCTGCACTAGAATTTTGAGGGAGCTAAGAGAGGTTATCCATCCTTCACTTTGAATGGTTGGGATGTTTTTACTCGGACTGTTTTCAGTTCCAGATCAGATCAGACCAGACTAGAGCAGTCTTGGATAGTCATAAAATGCACAGAGAACTGACTGATTCAGCCTAGACCAACAAATTTGAGTTGAAGTAAAAACATTCTTGGTCTCATAGGTTTGTTTCGACTTGGCTGATGTGAGAGAGTTGCTTTTGTAGTGCTTCAAACGTGACTGTAATTCTCATTTTGTTCTCTTCACATCTCTTCTTTTCTCGTTAGGCTATGCTGTGCAGCTGCTTTGATTTCCTTCAGTTCTGGATATTTCTTTTTTAGCCTGCCTTTTTTGCTTTTGCTCCTTTGGCTGATCTAAAGTCCGCAAGACTAGTCCAAGGCCCTCTCTAGTAAGTTGAGGGATATAAAAACAACAATGATGTACCAATCTTTGTGAAACTTTTTTTTTTATTTGAGAACCATATTTTGTTTGTACAAAATATTGTCTGTCGGTACAAAAATGGATATAAACGTGAATACAAACATCATTTTTATATAAAAATGCAGGCCCTTTTGAACTAAACAGCCGTAACAAACATAGTCTAAATTCTAAATTCATTCAACATCAAGATGGATGGATATTTGGTATCCTTTTAATGATCCATTGGATCTCCCAGTTCCGAGATTAAAATCAATGTATCTGATTGTATTTTAGATTCAAGATGATATTGTTCCTTTCCAATGCTTTTCAACTTACATCCCAACAACATAAAAACTAGTTAAAATCAGTACCCCTCATTTAGAGCTTGTTTGGTAACCCATAAGTTGGTTGAATCGATTGATTCTGCTCAAATTTATGAAATTCTGGCCGTAATGACTGATTCTGCTTATTTATGAAAAAATTATATTTAAAATACCTTTCATTAATAAAATAAGAAAATATTATATGAAAAAATATCTAGAACAGTCCTCTACATAACTTCAGGCAATGCAGCCAGAAAAGTAACTACAATCTTACTTATTTTATTTTGATTAATTCAACGCGTGAAATTAAAAATTACGTATTTGATGAAAAAGTGAAAAAGTTAGTTGATAAGCCTAATAAACTGAAATACATGATTACCAAAGGGCTCTTAGTAATTTCAAAAGAAAAGCCTCATAATTAATTAGAGGATATACAATTGACACAGCAAAACAAGATAAAAACTTAACTGAATAAAAACTTGAACTACATTACTTAACTAAAGGAAACAAACTGCTACATTTGCTGCTTGGCAGCTTCAGTCACAATGGGGAAGTAAGGAGTTTTGCCCAAAACACTGGACAAAAGCCCATAGAGAAAACAGCCCACTACAAACACAAAAAGCCCATTATGAATCCAGATCGTAACCTTGAGCCCCAGACCGGCCCGACCCGGAGTGAAGATCCGCTGAACCATGAGCGGCAGCACCAGGAGGATATCGAGAACTAAAGCCTGCAGTGCGTTGAATCGGGCGTAATGGCTGAACCTCTGGTTCCGGACGATGCCCAAGTAGATGGCGAAGAAGGAGACAAAGCTCGCGAGAGGGATGGAGCGGTAGAGGGATAGGAGCGGGATAAATGGATCGAGCGGGATGGCTAGGGCTGGGTATTGGGCCAAGAGGTAGCGCCCATACTGAAGGCCGTTGAAGAAGGGAAGGAAGTACGCTACCGTAGAGATCAGGCGGTCTGTGACAGGCGTCGGGCCGTAGGAGGCGGAGATGGGGGCTCTGCTGCTGTGAGGCTTAAGTTGGGATCCGATTTGGTATAGCTGTGGTATTATGGGTTTGAGAGGATGGGGTAAGGGGCGGCGGGTTTGATGGGAGGGAAGATTGGGGGAGGAGGTTTTGGTGGTGAACGGCGGAATACATAGGCGGAGTAGAGTGACGGAAGCCATGGCAATCTTAAAGATTTGCTAGTCTCCGAGATTTTGACTCTTGACCGGCAATTTATATGCTTTAAATAAGTTTTTCGTTCCTCTCAATATATAGCACATTCTTTTTTATACAGTACTTCTCTAAAATTAACTTTTTGTTTTTCATCCGATGATAACAAAACATTTAATAACGTAACATTCTAAACTAGTAGATTTTCTTTAATTCTTTATCATGTTGTTTATAAAACATTTAATTTTATGTTTAAAAAACTTTTAATACATATTTTAAAAATCCCATATTAGTTTCAAAAAATTTATAAATGGTTAAACTTAAATGTTTCTACTAGATTTATGCAATTGATAATTAATTTTTTCTAAGCAGAGTACTTTCCGGAGTTAAAGATGAATAAAAGTAAAATAAGACATATTACATGAACGATGAACGAAAAACAAATGAAAAATTACAATAAACTAAAATAAAGTGTGTCATTGTAAGTATCTTACACCTTCTTTTTTGGAAGTTGTCAAGAGACACCTTAACATGGAGGCACCTTCTTGGAAAGAGCTCTCCAACAAATAGGTGTGGGAGAAGATATGGAGATAACTAGGAAGCTTGGATGCAACTTCCTTATGTCTCCAAACCAGCCCTATAAATAGAGTGCTCCATTGTTGTTCATAGTATCAGTTTAGAAAGTGAGAAAAGTGTGTGAAGAGTGAAATACACTTAGTGTAGAAGTGTATTGGTGAGGATTGATTTTTTGTAATAGTTGAGTGTGAGAGTTTGCTCCTCCTATTGTAATTCTGTTCTTGATATTGAATAGAAGAATTTTCCAATCCCAACAAGTGGTATCAGAGCGAGGTTGAGTTTCCATACACTGTTTTCTCATTTTCAGATAAATTTCTATAGGTTAGAAAATCGTGATTTTTCAAGTTTCTCGGAATCAGGATCTGATCATACTGTTAGATTCATCTCGGCGAGACGAGAAATCTGGTATTTTTGGGGATTTTTTTGGCCACCGGAAGAGGCCGTACGCGCCGCCGGAAAATTGCCTGCATCATCACTGCGTCATCACGCAGTCCAGAGGAAGAAGACGATCCACATCAGCTGCCACGTCATCGCCACGTTGGACCACGTCAGCGACACGTGGTGCCGAGTCATCCGCCCGAGCCGTCTGCTGTGAGCCACGTCAGACGCCACGTGGCTACACGTCATCGCCACGTCAGTGAGGGAGCAGAGCCACGTCATTCGCCTGCTGGGCTGCAGGCTGGGCTGCTGCCTGAACCGGACCGAACCGGTTCGTGCTTTTGGAGGCCGGTTCACCCGTTTCCAGACCAGTTTTGGACGAGGTCAGACCGGTTCTTACCATTTTCGGCCATTCCGGATCCAACGGTGAGCTCCGTTTGTCCAAATTCGGCTTCGAAAATAAGGTACGAGATATATAAAGCGTTTTATTATGGATAAATCATCGTCGGACACCATGATTGCGCTCACATCCACAAACTACAATATGTGGAAGCCTCGGATGGAGGATTTGCTAAATTTGAGGGATTTAGCGGATGAAAAATGGACAAAAATGAATCGAAAAACTGTCGCACAAATTCGACAATGGATAGATCATAGTGTGTTCCACCATGTTGCTCAAGAACAAAGTGCTTACACACTATGGGAGAAGCTTGGTAGCATGTATCAAGCAAAAACCGCCCGAAATAAGACGTTACTAATGAGGAGATTAGTAAACCACAAATTACGTGGGGGTATTTCGGTGTCAGAACACACCAGTCAATTCCAGGATCTTGTGAATCAGTTGAGCACCACCGGATGGGTTCTCAAAGATGAAGAGCAGGCGATACTACTCTTGAGCTCTCTACCTGACAGCTGGGAGACTCTTGTTGTCACTCTCAGTAATTCTGCTCCAAATGGGAAGGTGACTATGCAGATGGTCACAGATGCCCTGATGAATGAAGAAGCCCGAAGGAAGGAAGCCGGAACGGAACAATCATATGTCCTCATATCAGAAACTAACAGACGAGGGGGAGGCAGAAATGGAGGAAGAAGTCGAGGTCGAGGTAGAGGTCAAGGTCAAAGTAGAGGAAATTCTCAAGTTCGCGGAAGATCACAAGAGAGAGGTATGTCCTTTGAAAACAATACTTGGTTCGAAGGATATTGCAATTACTGTAGTAATTATGGACATAGGAAAAGAGATTGTAGAAAGTTTCTACGAGAGAAGCCACAGACGAGTCAAAATACTAGCCAAGAAGATGGTGAGACCATGGTTAGTTTGTCATCAGACGTGTGTCTTGTTACACATGGTGAACAAGAATGTTTACACGTAGGCACTCATGATGTTGAGTGGGTGATTGATACAGCCGCATCATTTCACGCCACTCCACACCAGAACTTATTCACAACTTATAAGTCCGGAGACTTTGGAGCTGTGAAGATGGGAAACACCAGTTTCTCGAAGATTGTTGGCATTGGTGATGTGCACATAATAACCAATGTCGGATGCGCACTTGTGTTGAAAGATGTTCGACACGTTCCGGATCTTAGATTGAATCTTATCTCCGGTACAGCTCTGGATCAACAAGGATATCTTAACCGATTCAAAGAAGGTACGTGGAAGCTATATAAAGGTTCCTTGGTTGTTGCAAGAGGCCATATTTGTGGCACTCTTTATAAAACTCATGCAAAGTTGTGTCATCCAAGTCTCAATGCTGTTGAAGAAGAGATATCACCAAACTTGTGGCACCGGAGGTTAGGTCACTTGAGCGTGAAGGGATTGACAACTCTTGCAAAGAAGGAAGTCATTTCCATGGGCAAAGGTGTTGCCCTAGATTCATGCGAGCACTGTCTATTTGGGAAACAACACAAGGTTTCCTTCAGTTCTACCAAGAAGAACCATACAGAGTTACTCAGTCTTGTCCACTCTGATGTATGTGGACCCATTGAAGAGGAGTCACTTGGAGGAAGCAGATACTTCGTGACATTCATTGATGATGCATCACGAAAGGTATGGGACTACTGTTTAAATCGTAAGGATCAAGTGTTTGATCGATTCAAATAATTTCATGCCATGGTAGAAAGAGAAACAGGGAAGAAGCTGAAGTGTCTGCGTTCAGACAATGGAGGAGAGTACACTTCCCGAGAATTCTCAGCATATTGTGCCGCATATGGAATCAGACATGAGAAGACGGTTCCACGAACTCCGCAACACAATGGTGTAGCCGAAAGAATGAATCGGACCATTATGGAGAAAGTTCGTTGCATGTTGAGTCTGGCTAAGCTACCTAAGCCATTTTGGGGTGAAGCTGTGCTGACAGCTTGTTATCTTATAAACAGGCCACCTTCTGTTCCTTTAAACTTTGAAGTGCCAGAGAAGAAATGGTCAGGAAGAGATGTTTCTTACTCTCACTTGAAAGTGTTCGGGTGCAAGGCATTTGCACATGTGTCCAAGGAGTTGAGACAGAAGCTTGATCTCAAGTCAAACCCATGTATCTTCATCGGCTATGGAGATGAAGAATTCAGATACCGGTTGTGGAATCCCGAAGTGAAGAAAGTTATTCGAAGCAGAGATGTTGTATTTCATGAAAACGAGTTTCATGGGTGTGCTCCAATAATCCGCCAACAACATACTCCAGAAGACGAAGTGCCTGTATCATCAAACATTCCTCTCAGCGACGAGGAGATGCATGATTCTACTGAACACAAGAGTGATGGTTCAGCAGGTGATGATGATACTCACAGTGATGATATTCCTCAGCAGGGGGAGCCTTCATCTGAAGACGAATCTGAAGGTATTCATGTTCGACGTTCTATGCGAGGCATAGTTCCACAAAGAAAAAACTCCACATCCGAATGGATACTTGTTGCCAGCGAGGGGGAGCCAACGAGCACCGCAGGAACGAGAGAAATAAAGAAAAAGGTGGAGGGGGAGATTTGTAGGTATCTTCCACCTTCTTTCTTGGAAGTTGCCAAGAGACACCTTAACATGGAGGCACCTTCTTGGAAAGAGCTCTCCAACAAATAGGTGTGGGAGAAGATATGGAGATAACTAGGAAGCTTGGATGCAACTTCCTCATGTCTCCAAACCAGCCCTATAAATAGAGTGCTCCATTGTTGTTCATAGTATCAGTTTAGAAAGTGAGAAAAGTGTGTGAAAAGTGAAATACACTTAGTGTAGAAGTGTATTGGTGAGGATTGGTTTTTTGTAATAGTTGAGTGTGAGAGTTTGCTCCTCCTATTGTAATTCTGTTCTTGATATTGAATAGAAGAATTTTCCAATCCCAACAGTCATATTAGAAAGGATTTAAAACGTATTTAAAGTTATGATTATAATAAGGTTTAGTGCAACAAACTCCCTCCTTATATACAAATTCAACGAATTAACTCCATGTGATTAAAAAAGTGTGTTAAAGTCAATTGTGTTATGATTATTCATGCGCAGGATCCCTTTTGTAAATAAATTTAATAACTTTAAAATCACTTTTCATAATATTATGATTGAATATGAAAATAAATTTGTTAAAATCTCTAAATTGTACAAAAATTTAATCATTTTTCTTTAATTTGACAATTAAATTTATTTATAGAAAGGACTCAACGCATAATTTATAATAACAAATGGGAGTTTTATACATTTTCTAAACAACAGAGCGCTAATGCGTCAAATTTATATATCAAAGGGATTTAGTGCATTAAACCTTAATTAATACAAATGGTATTTTCTCAGTTAAAAGCTGCTATAAATTAATAGGAGGGGTGGCGGCACCCTCTGGTTAAAATATTTCTTTGGACAGCTTAGGAATGGTTGTCTTCTTACATATTTAAATCTTAATAGAAGGTGGATCAATTTACCTTCGACTTGCAGGGCTTGCGGCGAAGAGGATGAATCGATAGTTCACCTATTCCGTGATTGTTTGGCGGTTTGGGAGGTCTGGTGTGCTGTTAACTGGTGGCAGCATAATCTGGTGGACATCTTTGAGTTATGGGTAAAAGAAAATTTGGAAGGGAATAATAAAATTAGCTATGGACGGTTTATAGCAATCCTCTAAAGTCTTGGAACCGAAGAAATAATGTAGTTTGGAAAGGGGGAAACCAAAGCAGTATGACTGTGGCAAGATATGCTTGGGATTTAGCACATGGGATACATCGAGAGGCAGGTTAAAGGAGTAGCAAAGGGCTATATATATATATATATAGGTTTTGGTTAAAATTAGAACATCATCTAATGTGATAAATAAGAAACAATCCTGGCCGATCAACTCATTTTCTGAAATTCTCACGTGAGAATGCGCAGGCTAAGATGGTCATTGTGACATTTCTTCCCTTTTGTACGTAGCTATCTTTCCTTCTATGTTTCTTTCCATTATTTTTTGTCAATTAATTAAACGTCTTAGTTATTTCCTTTTCAGTTACGGATGCTATTCGGCCATTCCATGTATGTGAATTTCAGCTTCTATACGACCGTCTCTTCCTCCCCCAAAACTCTGAAACTCCATTAATGGATAAAGGTTTGTTTTTGACCATCTTTCATTTGTTCTACGTATTTCTTTGTTTCGTTTGTTTATTTTTTTTCTTGAATAAGTTTCATCGTTTATGTTTCTTTATATCACTCGTGTAGAAGCTTTAAAAATTTCTCCTAGGTCTACTAAGTATTGGATCCTTGAATTCCAAATTGAACCACATTTTTTACTCTTGCACACCTGTTCACGGCACACCGCTATCCATCGAGAAGCATGCATCATCTGTCTTCACTCTCTCCATTTTTTATAAGATTCAGAAGGAGATATGTGTTGCATGTTTCTCATGTCCTGTTTTAAGGGTTGAAGAAGTAAACTGTGTGCATGCGTACGTTATCAATGATGAGTGCAGTATGATTTTCAATGTTGTGCATTCTTTAATCGCATCTACGACAACAAACATGCAGTTGCAAAGACTTTGATAGAGTTTGGTTGGTTTGTAGACACATGTTTGTTGTGTTTTAAAGACCTTAAATTGCACAACACTCATGCTGACTTTGTTCTAAGTCGTTGGTGTTAAAATAGTATCATTAAACCCATGTTTGATATTGACGATAGCGTTTTTTTACCAATGAGGAGAGAAAGTTACATGTCAATCGTTTATGGTCTGACATTCATTGTTGTGTTGCTATTATCGAGGATAAGACTGTTCTGTTTGATCAGTTTGCACAATTAATTAAAGAACAGAAGAGTATGCTGCTCTCATCACAGCAACATAATGCACACGTGACAAGCAAGACTTCTGTCATTCAGCACTTTTTTGGTGCAACAGCTCCTTCAGAGGTCAACGTACTTCCGCCTCAATAAGCTAGGAACAAGGGTTGTGGCAAGCGCTTAAAAGGTGGTAAAGAAGTGGCAATACAATCAAAGAAGAAGTTGAGATTGTGTAGAACATGTAATGAGATGTGTCGCCATGATAGCCGTAACTGCCCCATTAAAAATCGGCTTGAATTTGCTACTTACCTATTGTTGCTTTATGATTTATTTCTAAAACTTGATGCTCATACATGACTTGTTTTGGTTCACCTTGTTTAGTTTTATTTGTTATTGTTAGTCATTATATTTAATCATTCGGTTGTTTTGATAGTCATTAAATTTGAATTTTTTGTTGCACATTTTAATGATCAAAAGTTCACAACAACAATACAATTAATATTTATTTGTGCAAATTGATTTACCTGTAATCAACCCTTATGTTCAGTCACATGATTATCATTGTGAGCAAAATGATATTGTAATTTGTTGTACTCTTTAATATTGAAGAACAACCATCAACGACACATGTGTAATTAGTCATATAATTTGTACATCGCGTAATGTTTGCACACTTTAATGTTGAAATACACTTTAACACTTAACATTCTTCATTCGTTGGTCAAAATAAATGTCCATTTTAACACATTTTAATGACAACATCTAAGAGTTATCCATATTCTAAATTGCACACAACAATATTAACTTCTTATTCCCATTTCATACGTTTCATTTGAATTACACCTCACACGATCAACATACTACTTAGCAATCATGAAAAAATTCAATAATATATCAAAGTCATCAAACCCATGCAAAAGGACCTTGTCTAAACATATTCTAAATACTCTAACAACGTTTTAACCTTCAAATAAACATCACAACCAAAACCCAATTAGATCCCAAAAACCAGAAATTTCACAAACAAATTTAGTAATGTTTTCCAAACACCTCACTTCACTTCTTTGATTTTCCTTTGTCTTGCTTCTTCACCATTATGCACACCAAGGACTTACCACTTTCACATACATTCAAGTAAATTAACAAAAATGCTTTTATCAAAATGCACATTGATTTGGGTCTATTCCTAATTTTGGGCATTTCAAAATGCACACTTAAACCATTATGCACATAAGGATTGACCACTTTCACATGCATTCAAGTAAATTAACACACATGCTTTTATCAAAATGCACATTCCCTGAGATTTTCAAAATGCACACTTAAACCATTAATGCACATTCCATTTTGTCTATTTCTAAATGTGGGCATTTGAAAATGCACATTTCAACCATTATACACACAAGGATTTACCATTTTCACATACATTCAAGTAAATTAACACAAATGCTTTTACCTAAATGCACATTTCATGAGAATTTCAAAATGCACACTTAAACCATTAAGGCACATTCTATTGTGTCTATTCCTAATTCTGGGCATTTCAAACTGCACACTTAAACCATTAGCATAGAATCAAATGCACATTCCATGTACCCTGAATCACACACATTGCACACTAGGGTATTTCAACAACCAAAGTCATCACAACACCAAGTCTTTACCACTTTCACTTACATTCAAGTAAATTAACACAAATGCTTTTACCAAATTGCACATCCCATGTCACATTACCCACACACAATGCAGTCTATTAATTTACCACAACCAAATGCATCACCGCACTACAAATTTACCAAAAATGTTTTTATTAAAATGCACATTACATTTTCCATGAAATTCACTACTTCAACATTAACATATACAGAGATGCACTTAAATTGTCCTTTTAATGCACACATTTCTTCTTCTTCAGTAACGCCCACCACCAACTTCTGCACTCCAATCGGTTCGTCCATGCATGTTCTTAAACCAACATCTTCTCCTCCTGCGAGAGAGCGAAATTACAGTTTCATGGTACTTCGTTTTCAAATGCTAGGTTTATTTTTCAAAGTAAATGATTAAACAACTTTAAAGAAGTTACCGGTCTCCACAACCGCCGCACCAGGGACTGTTCTCGCCGCACTTGTAATCACAAGCACACCTTCCATTGCTTCGCTGTTAGTCGTCTTCCTCAATTCCTCTCCACGTTTTGCACTCGCCCTTGTCTCTCTTCTTTCCATGATTTTTTTTATTTCCAGTTTTCAGTAGAGAAGATACCAAAATTGAAGTGTTCTATCTTTGGTAATGACTACAATTTTGGGATTCGGCCATCTATGCCGCCTTTGATTGCATACTGCGTGTGTTTTTTAGATTTACAAAATGTCAATATTACCCCTCACGTGACAATCTTTTAATTACCCACAAATTACCATTAATTTCTTTCCTTTTATTATAGAATCGATTGGCCTTTTTTTGCACTCCATCCAGCCGTCCGATTTCACAAATCAACAGCTGAAAAGGTTTCTTATTTTTCTCCTAAACTAGTGTTCTCACATGAATCTAACCCCATACACACACACACACACACACACACACACACACACACACACACATATATATATATATATATATATATATATATATATATATATATGTGCAGATGTGAGAGAAACTCCCCCATCTCTCTAAACTTTTGGCCGCCTGAAGGCTGAAAAGGATTACTGGCACCCATATTCACACAGCCGGAATCCTTCCACCCGTTCCTTTGACCATTTTGATAGGTCTGCTCATTTTCAGGTGCTACACTCCTCTGGACTATGCGAAAAGCCTCATCCACATGTGAACCCCCATCGTTTCAGAGATTCCAAACGGAGTCCTCTCAGGCCATCTCCAACAGTTAACACCATTTTTTACACTAAAATGGTATAAACATCACATCAAACAATATTTTATCTCCAACAGTTTACACCATTTTCATCACCAAAAAGGAATATTCTCTTTTTATTCTTTTTAGGGAAAACTATCAAATAAGCCCTCGTACTATACCGAAAAAGTCGATTAGGCCCTCGTACTTTACAAACACTCAATTAAGTCCTCGAACTATTAAAAAACGTTCAATTAAGCTCTTTCGGTCGGTAAGTAACCGGTTTCCCGGTTAAATGTAACATGTTTCCTGGAAGCCGCTGTTGCTGGAGTTCGAGCACATCGTCGCCATCGTCGTCGTTTAACCGGGAAATCGGTTACTTACCCACCAAAAGGGCTTAATTGAACGTTTTTTAATAGTTCGAGGACTTAATTGAGTGTTTGTAAAGTACGAGGGCCTAATCGACTTTTTCAGTATACTACGGGGGCTTATTTGATAGTTTTCCCTTCTTTTTACTAACTTTTTACCATTCTTCTATTTAAGTATCTAACTATCTTATATTTATACATTAGCCACTCATTTAATATTTTGACATTTCACACATTATTTCACACATACAAACTAAAATACATCATTTTAATATGTATTTTCACGCATTTCACTAATTAAAACACAATAATCAATATTTCAGAAATACAAGCTAAAATTAGTATGTACTATGTATGTTTTTTATGATGTTTTAATTTTTATTATAATGGTGTTATTAATTGTAATTTTAATTATGTTATTTTCTTAAGTACCATTTTTTTCTGTTATTATGTTGTTTGGATTTGAATCTTTATTTATAATATTGTGTGATTTAAAAGTTATTATATTTTTTTTATCAAATTAATTGTTTTGATTGTTGTTGTATAAGGATGTTTTTACTTGGACTGTAATATGTTTCAGATCAGATCAGACCGGATTAGACCAAACTTGGGTAGTTATAAAAATACAAAGAAATCAGACCAGGCCACATCAATTCAGACCAGAGCAGACCAAATCAGACCGGACCAACAAATTTCAGTCCAAGTAAAACTTCCTAATTTGTTGTTTTAAAAATGGGTCAAAACTATAGTAACCAAAACTTTGGGTCACATTTGAAAAACAAAATTACAAAAAGAGGATGGTGCAAGAAATGGCGTACGCCATATATAGCGCAAACCATTCCCCCCTCCCCCATTTTGGTGTAATGGTGTCAAGTTTGGTGTTATTGTTGGAGCATTTTTTGCCAAATACACCATTTTGGCGTTGAAGATGGTGCTTGTTGGAGATGCCTCAACCGGCTCTCCTACCCAAAGTCATAATAGCTCTACAACCAACGTTTGGATTGGTATCCAAATTCACAGCTCTACAATCATGGATTCGATTGGTATCCCAATCAAAGGCCGGAAAGACTAGATTGGGACTCGCATCAGCCACATCGATGGGATTGGTATCCGCAAATCACCAGTCACCGACGCTACACCCACGCAACGCCCCAGTTCAAGATGGTGGCCCTAGCTGACTCTTGGTGCTATGTCCATCCCAGATGTCGTCACCGACGCTACACCCACCACCTCCATTAGCGAATTTCACACAATAACTGGTGCTCAACGGGTAAGTCAAATCGTTTTTCCTTAATAGACCAGGAAGACGAAATCTTAACCCACCACCTTCATTCTCAAGACCTTATACATGAAAGGCACACCACCCCAGGTCTCACGAAAAAAGTCACACGGGAAAGAGCTGAGTCGTTCAGCAATTTCACTGGACCGCGGGCCAAAAACCCCTAGTCAAAAATCCAATCGATCCAGCGACCGGAGGATTCCAGTGGCGAAGCCCGACATCCCAAACTCATTTTTAACTATGAGGTTCAGAGAGCCTTTGGCGAGAAGCAACAACGCATCCCCCTTGAGAAACCACAAATTCCATTTCTTCAGGTTTACTCTGATGCCTGAGACAGCTTTGATTATTCCGATGAATCTTTCTTTTCAGATGATTTCCTGGGACATGCAACTGAAAGCGATCGACGCCCTCATTTATCAAACCAAGAAGATATTGGCAATTCCAAATTCAACAGAACAATTTGCCGCAAACCAAAGTTTGTCACCTCCGAAAATTGTCTGCCAACAGACAACCTGAACACACAACTTAAACTTTACAGAAAATCTCGGCAAAACAAAAGGCGACACAACATGCGGACGAGATCACAGTCCAGAGATTTCCCTTGGGTCTAGTTTTAGTTTTTTATATTCTCTTTTAATCTTTGTATTTTTCATTTTATTTCTCCTCTTGCACCGTACCTTTTATTTTTATGAATAAAATCATTCTTTTTCAAATATATATGTGTGTGTGTGTGCACAGCAGTGAATGAGGTGGGAGGAATTAGAGCTTGGAATACAGAATACACTATATTGCATATTGCATCTGATATTTCTAAGTACACAAACTTAATTTTGTAGTGTTAATTGAGTGCGCCCACTAGATTAACACTTTAATACGGCTAAGTTGGCTAACAGAATGCTAATAGATTGACTTTCTAAAGGTCAACGCTGGCCTCTAGCCCCTTGGTCGACGCTAGTCCCCCGCAGGTCGACGCCCCACGCAGGTCGACTTTCCCTTTTTAGTTGACTTCATGAAGGTCGACGTCATAGCCTTGATCAATTACCCCTTCTTACTAAGCATTTCGTTAGCCAACTCGACCATATTAACATGTTAATCTAGCGAATGTACTCAATTAACACCAAAAAATCGAATTATGTACTTACGCATGTCAAATGGAAAATAGTGTACTCTTTACTCCACTTTATACAATTTGATGTACTCAATTAACCCCTTCCTTCTTGTTACATTCAGACATCACAAAATTCATTTCTAGTCACCTAATTTCGACATTACTCATGACCTGTGCTAGTGGCTAGTGCACAAAGGTTAGGGCCTGTTTGCTTAGGACTTAATGGACTGAATGAACTTAATGATCAAGTCATTCATTCATTAAGTTGTATTTACTTAGAACTTATTAAAGTGGATGACTTATTCACTCAAACAGAACTTAATAAAATGGGAAAATACACTCCTTCGCACTTAGACACCCGAACAGACCCACTTTCCTCTTTTACCCCAGATAATACTCCAGTTTCGTTTATCACCCTTTGAACAACTAGTTCTTCTTTGACGAACCAAATAAAGTAATTAAAGGTCGATCGTCTTCTTCCCTTATTATATGCTCTGCTCCGTCGAATTTGAAACAAAAGTAAACTGCCAAGCAATCTACTCGCTCACCATATGGAAGCACCCATCTTCATTCTTTTACTCAATTTAATTGGAACAGAAATCATAGGCAAACATCCATCTTCATCCCTTTTTTGGATAAAGCTACGAACCTATGAGATTGATTCTGATGACAGCCAATTCTACTAACTAATAGGGAAATTTACAAAGATATGACTAAAACTCGAGTTTCTCAATCTATGACTTAACTAATTTTTAGACTTTTCTATGACCGAAAATTCAAAAACAAAAAGAAATCTCATTTATATTTAAAAGGTGAATGACGAAAATACCCTTATTTAAAATATGTGCATTTCGCACTAATTTCATCCAATTAAAATTACTGCACTTTATATTGCCATTACTGCATGATATTAATGCACGACTTTACTGCACATCCGATAATAATCACTGCACTTCCGCCAAAATTAATTCTTTTCTCATTTACTTGAGGAATTTATTTTTAGTTTTTATTTTTTGTTTTTTAGATTTATTTAATAATTTTATTATTTTACGTCAAATTAAATATATTACATTTCATAATGATATTACTGCTTTGTGTTACAGCAATACTGGTCATATTCACTGCACAACAAAATTTCTCAACACTTATTAAAATATATTCAGTGTCCATACTCAACACTTATTACCAAATATATTCAGTGCCCATACTCAATACTTATTGAAATGTTCACTGTCGGTGCACAATGCTCATATTTAATGCACACAACCCCTAAATTCCATAAAACCTAATCTCAGAAAAAAGAAGAAGATTGAGGCGGACGAATGGGCATCAGCGAGGGTTAGTTGGAGCGCCTCCATGCTGCTGGATGACGACATTGGTTGGATGGGGACAAAGGTGCATGACTGGGTGGCAGCATCTCCACGTACGGCCTAGGACAGAAGTTGGGGCATGGATGGGAGGCGGTGCACACGGCCTAGGACAGTGTTGCACAGGTCGGGGATGGTGCACACAGATTTGGGACGACGACGTATGGATTTGGGACGGCGGCACACAGATCTAGGACGGCGATGAGGAATGGCGACTGGACGATGATGAGGAGCAACGGCTGGACGGCGATGAAGAGCGGCGACTGGACAACGAACAACAGATCGACGTCGGGCGACAATTTGGGACCGAGGTATGGCAGAGAACTGGCCCAACGGATTTCTATGGAAGGGGGCAACGCTGGGCGACGGCTCTGGACAGTGGGCGACGGTTGGACGGTGGGGCGGCTGCTCGTACATGTGGGTGTTGGGAGGTTGTAGCTAGGGTTGTAGAAAATGAGTAGGAGGTTAGGGTTTTATAGATGTAAACTAAAGGGTATATTTGTCCACCTAAATGAATTATTAATTATTCATTACAAATTTTAATTAAATATTACGAATTTTAGTATTATTTTGGTAAAAAAAACTAGTTAGGTCATAGATTAGGAAAGTGAAGAAATTTTAGTCATACCTAGGGTAAGTATCGCTTAATAACTAATGTATGCGTGCGTATTTTGAGTGTATAGCTTAATATTCAATACTTCATATTTGTTTTCTATTCTATTATTATTACAAACTATTTTACTAAAGAAATTGTTTATATAATTCACACTTTTTACAGTTTTTTTAAAATGTTTAAATTCAAAATATTGTTCCCATAAAACTCCTGACTTTATTTTGTCATGTAATATTACTCTTTTATTTAAGTAATTCGTAGTATTATTATTATTTTCAGGCATAAAAACTTTATCTTTCAGAACAAAGAAAGTAAACAGACAATAGACATTCGACACTTACAGATAGGAGGGTTATTTGATCATTTAACATGATTCAGACTTCCCATTCAGCACACTTAGTAAATAGTTTGTTATCTCTGTGTCACTTAATCCGGACAGCTTAATGAAGACAGACAGCTTAATTCATTCAAGACTTAATGGAAAAAGGTAAACAACCCAAAACAGTTTGTTACTTTCCTCCCACATCACCATGGGTTAAAGTGACTTCCTCACTTGAAACCTCACCCCACACCCAAAACCCACATCCAAAAGATCACTATTCTCCCAAAACACTCCTTAGTGACTCAACATCTCAAGCTCTCACACACCAAACCCCTCACAGTGACCCAATCTCACTACCTCCAAGCAGGGGCGGAGCCAGGACACTATAAAGGGCTGGGACGGAATTGAACTAAAAAAATTCTTAAATATAAGTGTAGTAATAAAATTAAGTTTAAGTGCATCACAAATGTTTTTCCAACAAAACTACTAGAAATTTAGTGCATCAAACATTCAAACTAAAAAGTCAATTGCACTCTACGGTCTTTTACTTTAGCAAACTCATCGATAAGAGAGTCAATATCTATTGTACTGACAAGTTCCCTCTCAATGAAGATTGTCAAACTATCAGCAAGAAACTCATCAGCCATTTTGTTGCGAATTACCGTCTTGACATGTTTCATTGCTGAAAATGCTCTCTCGGTTGTAGCCGTGGAAACTGGTAATGTTAACACAAGACGTATCAATCTTGTCAACATTTTGAAATCGTCTGCCTTTCTTGTTTTCACCAACATTTCACATAAATGCGAAAGAGTAGGAACTTGGAATTGAGAGTTCTGAGCCACATGAATATGATAAAATGTCAGTTCACTCTTTAAAGCATTTCTCTCGTGTTGCTCAAAATCATCAGGATAAAACTCCACTGCAAGATTATAAATATGATCAGCATTAAATGATTCAAAGGAGTTTCTCGGATCCAATGCCACACTGAGCTCAAGTAGTCTAACTGATTTCTCACAAAATCTTGAATTCAACTCCGCCACTTGATAATCTATGGATTGGGTAAAATATTCAAAGCGGTAATAATGTTCAAGATCTACCTCACTCCGCCCACGCCGCATTTTGGTCTTCATGTCTGGGATAGTGATGTTATGTTTTAAACAAAACTCTTCCACTTGTTTCAACAGATTATCCCATCCATCATCCCTTAGACTTTGAAGAAGGGTTTTGGATGTTGAAACATACCCTATTGCTGATAAAATGTCCACTGACTCCTTTTGAAATGCTTGACAAAGAAAATCAGTTATAGCCATAATAGCTTTCATTACGTGCAAGCCAAAGACAAAATTAAAACTCTTCACGCTAGTGCAAGTTCCATCTGCTTCGTTTCGAGCCTTAGGGTTCGGCCCATCACAAGCAATATTCTCAAGTACCTTACAAGTCGCATTGTACAATTCTATCATACTAAGAACAAAATCATAATGAGAGCTCCAACGAGTTTTACCTGAACGTTGTAAAGAGGACATTTGATTAGCTCCTCGTCCAGATTCACGCTCCCCACTTGCCAACAGAATGTCAATTTCTTCTCTATGAGTAACTTGTAATTCTGTGTTGCGCTTAGCAGAAGATTTGACAATGTTAATCACTTTATCCAAAATGGAAAAAATCTCCAAATAGGATCACACTGTTTTGATGAAGCCACCAATGTCAATTGCAACCTGTGAGCAAAACAATGCACATAGTATGCATAAGGACAATCATTCAGAAATAGTGCTTGCAATCTGTTCCATTGTCCACGCATATTACTAGTACCGTCATATCCCTGGCCTCGTAACTTATGGACTTGAAGATTGTAATGAGAAAGAACATCACAGATCTCATGCTTAAGTGTTTCTGAAGAAGTTTCAGCAACGCCTTTAATAGCAAAAAACGTTCTGTTAAAATACCAGCAACATTCACAAATCTCAAAATTATGGCCATTTGCTCCCGGTCAGATTCATCCTTTGCTTCATCAACAAGAAGACAAAAACACGAATCTCCTATTTCTTCACGTATCATACGGCGAACTCTATTAGCCATTAAAGATAAAATTTCTTTCTGGATATCAGGTGAAGTGTATTTGGCATTTTTGGGAGCATTACCCAATACAACATCTCTGACTTCTTCATTCCACTTTGCTGTGTAAGTAATCAGTTCTATCATATTTCCACGGTTCAAAGATTTTTCAGACTCGTCATGACCTCTAAAAGCACAACCCTGTAACGCTAGCCACTGCACAGTCATGATTGATGTCTTTAATCTTAAACGGTTTTTTAAAACTTCTTCTTTGCTAACTCTCTCAATCACTTTATCAATATGCTGAGCTGGAGTCATTAGGGAAGTAGCATACGTCACACATTTATTATGATAAGAATAAGGTGATGTACCTGTGTGAAGAAAAATACACATTCTTTGCCTTGATGAACTCTCTTCCAGCTATCAAATCCAATATGGACTAATGCAGAGGTATTGGAGGCATGGATGTTATCACAAAATAGAAAGCACGGAAAGCAATATGCTTTGTGCGTTGTCGGAGAATATTCCAACCAATTAAATTCATTGAACCAATTTGGTTGAAAACGTCGAATTTTGTCTTTATATTCTCGACCTTGATAGTGCTGAAGTTTTGGTTGGTAAGGCCCAGCAACCAAATATAACCGCCTAACTTCATCTCTATTATTAACAGGCCAATCACATATTTTTTTTCTTTTACCAGGATCCCGTTCTATTTCAATCACAGAAGAAGATGCTTGATTTTGAACATTAGAAGATTCTTCATGCTCATTAGAAGATTTCAATCCCGTTCTATTTACCCATACCCGGTCGGGTATCACCTTTGTCTTGGCGGTCAACGCCCGTTTGACCGCCCAAACGAAGTCCGATTAACGTGAAATTTTATACACATGTACTTCTTGACATCCTTAATCCAAAAATACCATTTTGGACCCCTGGAACGTTATACATAATAAATTATCGCATTTTGATCATCAAACATGTATAACATGCTTTTCAACTATGTTTTATATATAATCATGGTATAAGCAAATACTTGATTATCTTTAATCATTCCGTAAAACATATTCTTGATTACTTTAGGTAATCTCATGCCTCACGCAAAAGTTATAAGGCATAACGTCGTCTTCTCACAACTATTAATAAGTACTTCATACTTATTAATCGTTCATATATTTCGTTCTAGTTTATTCTTCATAACTATATTTAATTTAATGACATGTATGATTAAGTACTTGAATCCTTCAAGAATACCTTGATCAAATAATATCTTTAATTACCTTAGTTAATGTCCAAATAAATAATTCATGATTATCCTTCATCAAAAATATTGATAATTCTTTTACTCATTAATCATGCCATTTTCACATAACTTATAATCATTATAGCTAATCACATGTTTAAACACTTTTGAACGTTTCTATACATATTCACATACTAGATTACTCTAGTTATCTCATACATAGTCCATGTATGCATTTTTATACATTTGACAATAATATATTCATGATTAATCCACAAATAAATCTCTTATTCATTAATCATGTAATACTTCCATAATTCATATTCACCATGACTAATCATGCATTTTAATCCATTTAATCATTTCTCAAATCATGATAAGGATTTTATTTAGGTAAACCCACATTTGACCCAAGAGTTACAAGACACGTAGTCATCCACTCACCTTGAAATGACTTTAGCGAGCTTTTAGCCTCCTCGATTGAACTCCGATGACTTTTGGAATTTTCCGGCGAAAACTCCGGCGGATCCGGAGACTTTTCCAGCCACTCCTAGATTCCTTGAGAAGTCTAGAATACCTTGGTAAAATTCCTAACAAGGTTTCACAACCAAAAGTGGCATAAACATCAAAACCTTCACGGAAGGTGTTTTCCGGCGAATCGGTCTTACTCCGGTCATAACTCCGTTCATGGTCAAAACTATCCTTCCAACCCCTCATTTTACACCTCTAGAAGTGTAGAAAAAGCTTATGGGTGTATCATATGATTTAAAAAATCATATGAGATTAAAAGAAGGAAGAAAAATACTAATGAAGTCATTACCTTGATTTTTTCTACGCTTTTCTCTTCTCTTCCAAGCTTTTCTTCTTCTTTGAGTCTTCCTCAACCTTGAGCTTGATTCAACAATGCAGGACTGGTATTTAAGATCTCTCTCCTATTGTTTTTTTTTTTTTGGGGGGGGGGGGGGGGGGGGGGGGGTTGGTCGAAGTGGGTAGGGGAGAGGTGGAGGAGACCTTCCCATTTGGTCTCACATGCCAATATAATGGGAGGGGGTCCCTTTACCTTTCATTTATGTCTCTCACATCCCTTCACACATCACACACCTCACCTCCAGCTCATTTGGTTGTATAACTCGTGGGGGTCCCCACTCATGTGGGAGGTCATCTCTTAAGTCCAAAAGTGTACAATCGGTCTCGAAAGTTGTATTTTCTGGACTGTTTTAATTAAATTTCTTTTTATCGGGTCAAATACAATATATATCATTCTTCCAATCAATATTGGACTCTAGAATGAATATATATTATCCAACTTTAATTTCGTGGTTTCTGGAATTTATTTCGGGCTATTATCTGTTGAATTACCAATACCGGTAATGGGACTGCTTTTGATCAAATGACCAACTCTATGGCTAAACATAAATATAAACCATCGTATGAATATCATCTAGACCAAGATGAATATAATATGTGGTCCCGGAAATATCGAATGGTCCCCGCCCATGTGTGGGCCCAACGTGCATTTTACTGTTCAAGTAACAGTAAAAATGAGAACGCGTTGCATCGAGAATTCACTCGTCATTTCTCACGACTTAACATGTGGTTTTATATTTTGTGACGATTTAATAAAATGTTACACTTCTTTTTAAGTGGTCCCAAATGTATGAGCAGATAAAATCTTATCTCTGTATCTTCATACAAAAATATCTTCAAGGTAGGGTCCTCCAAAAATACTCTCCTTTCATGTACCAAATTAATTATATATTTATCATCCCATTATTTTGGGTTCTTAAAATATTTATATGTATTCTTTCATTAATTCATAGTCTTCCGAATTATTAAGAGTCCGAGATTTAAGGGCTCTCAATTATCGAATAATGCCCCCGGCCCACTCGGCCATCCTGTTATCATTCTTTATATCACTGGGGTCCGCGACCCATTCCTACTATCATAATAGCATCATCTAGGTCAACATTAATATCTTAAACACTTAGAATACCATAGGTGGTCCCCGCTCCCGATGTGGGTCCCGCGTCTGATCAACAATCTTTTATTAATTTAAGACAAGAATTTTATCTTTCTCATCTATCAAGGCTACTCTAGTCTTGATTTACCTTCTTTAACCATGTACTTGATCAAAAAATTTCTCTGGGTAAAAATTCGGGTCCAGTGTTACAATCTGTTTGGGAAAATTTTAAAATTTCGTTACTGTACTTTCGGTATGTTACATCAATTTCGTAACAGTGGTCTCTGGCCTGCGACCTTCAACTGAGGATTCTCTCATAGGGTTGCCTTAGTCATTTCTCGCCAATGAGATCGGATCAACGACTTGGGAATTCAGGCGAGGTGCCCTCTGTAATGACAATGATGTACTCCATCAGATCATCACATAGCTCTACTCGCTATCGCCTTGAGTATTTTCGCCTTAGGGAGTGGGGGACTCCTGATAGAGTATATAGACTCGGATCACTGGTCTCATGACTATTGAGCACGAACAGCGGCCCACACACGCTTAGCGGATATCATTAAAGTCATTGTACATTTTATTATTCATTTGTATCTTCTAGATATATAGTTTTTTATAGTATCAGTCTTTTTATGTAACTGTGTTTGTCAGGCCCATAGTAGAGACACAGTCCTAAAATAACTTCAATCAATGATCATCAAGAAAAGGATATTGATGATATGCGATAATATTGGTATGTGGACTGCATCATACTTTTAAAAAGTATAGTTGATCTCACAACTATGAATTCCTGTAATTCATGATGGTCACATAGATATTTTAGAAGAATATTGACATACCAACCGAGAAACCATTTGATAAGTTCTATTCATGTGTATATGGGATTATCAGCGTATAGAGTAGTGTAATAGTCCTCTGATTTGAGGTCAATTCTTACTACTTTGCGGAGTGATGTACTTTGAATATGACCAACGTTTGCACTCTAATAAGGGTAGACACGACATGTGTTGGATACATCATGAAGCACAAGAAGTAGTAGTTGAGCCAAGAAAGAAATCATTCTCATAATAGATTAAGAGAAAACATTCTACTTCTCATATCTAGATGGATTATAAAGTCATTGACCAATGCAAAGATATATTCGTTTTAGATATCGAAAATGATCATTATGGATCATCTAGAAAGATTGAGAGATGGAGACTAAGTTATTGGAATAGACACAATATATATCAAGTTATAGGCTTAGTTGAATGTTCGTTGAATGAAAAGACCATATCACTATGAGCTCTATATTACAGAGAGTTTGAACAGTCCTCACAAACATTACGTTCTTAAATATTAAGTTTGAAAGGAGAATCGTCTAGGGATTCACTAAAACCTTAATTTGATTAGTGCTTAATATATAAGGCCTTATGGGTCATACAACAAGTGATTATACCTTCCAATTGATTTTTAGAAGGAATTAAATATTAATTAGATTAAATATTAGTTAATTCGTAAAACTGAAAAATGAATTAAATATTAATTAGATTAAATTATATTTAATTCATGATGTTGAAGGAGAGTTCTATTTGATAGATGAATTAAGTAACATAAATTAGATTTATTGTACTTAATTAAAAGGGAAAAATAATTAAAATACCCCAAACTTTGAAGGGATGTGAGGTAAACACCCCAAAGTTGCGTATATGATTTAAATATCCCAAACTTTATATAAAAAGTTATTTTAGCACCATAGTTATGTATTATTTCTTTCAAAAATGTTAATATTTGGTGTTAATTTCATAATTTAAAATATTGTAGCATTCATGAATATACACTTAACATTCTAAACCTCCATTGTAAAATATATAGTATTACCCCTCACTCTATATAATTGAAATATTTTCAATTTTCTATTTTTAATTATGCGATTAACACCATAAATTTACATTTTTATAATAAAAAATACATGATCATGGTGTTAAATAACATTTTATATAAAATTTGGGGTATTTAAATTACATATGAAAGTTTGGGGTGTTTATCTCACACCCTTTGAGGTATTTTAATTATTTTACCATAATTAAAATGTATTTATAATTAAACAAACCTCTTAATTTCCTGAGTGCAATTTGAAATTAAATGTATTCAAGAAATTGCAAACAAAATAAATAATAAATAATGTACATAGAATAAGGGATATGTATGGCTGAATTATTATTATTAGTATTATTATTTTATTTAATTAATTAGGGATATTGGTCCTTTTAAGAGTAGAACTCATTAATGAGAAAGCTTTTCATTGTGATTGGGAAACTAGTTAAAACTAGTATAAATATATCATCTTCCTTCATAATTCAGTGACTAGTTTTCTAGATTCAGTATTACCAGTTTATTTCTCTACGAAGAGATTTCCTAGCCTTTCTCTTAGGAAGATCTAACCTTTCTTTCGGAAATGAGAAATCATGTAGATACTTAAGGTCAAGGATTATCATTGTTAGGCTAGAAGATCTGTAAGTTCTAACTCAGATCTGTTATTTTGTTATATTCGTTGTTTTGTCATAATCAGATAAAGTCTGTTTGGGAAAATTTTAAAATTTCGCTACTGTACTTTCGATATGTTACATCAATTTCGTAATAGTGGTCTCTGACCTGCGATCTTCAGCTGAGGATTCTCCCATAGGGTTGCCTTAGTCATTGCTCGCCAATGAGATCGGATCAACGACTTGGGAATCCGAGCGAGGTGCCCTCGGTAACGACAATGATGTACTCCACAGATCATCACATAGCTCTACTCCTTACCGCCTTGAGTATTTTCGCCTCAGGGAGTGGGGGACTCCTAATAGAGTATATAGACTCGAATCACCGGTCTCACGACTATTGAGCCTTGACAGCGGCCCACACACGCTTAGCGGATATCAATTAAGTTATTGTACAATTTATTATTCATTTGTATCTTCTAGATATATAGTTTTTTATATTATCGGTCCTTTCATGTAACTGGGTTTGTCAAACCCATATTAGAGATACAGACCTTTATTTTCCTATTATACCCCCGTTGTAAAACCTAATTCCCAATCAAATCTATCATAATACATTCACACTACATATTCATCTTCCCTCTCGTAGCTCTATCACTCCTAAATTATATAGTTTGGATACCCTAAAATCCATAAAAGGGATTTCAAATGGATCTCTAAATTTATATCCCGAATCATACTGTACTAGTTCGAAACCATGCCATGACCGGTTCTCTTAAAACGAGAATCGCTATCGGAGTCGACATGACAGAAGTATAGGTTCAACTAACATACATGTATATCACGAGTCCCTCATACGGAGTAAGTTTTTTGCATTATTAATTTTTACTCCAGTTTAATAATTAATTTTGCTTTATAGAGTACCTAATACCGTAAGTTTCGTACTCCAACAAATATCAATTTTATATGTCCCAAATACGGAGTTTGCAGTTGCAGTGCTTAGTATTTTGCGTTAAGTGTCATCACTCCTCATTTATGTATTGTACTACTAGAGTTTATTTCAATGTTATTAATTATGTAATATGAAAGTTGATAAATTCTATGAAGTTCTGGAGTATGGCTAAACTTTAAGTTCCATTTAAACAATTGGAAAATGTGACATGGTTTGGCATTAATATGGTATGGGACCGTACGGTTTGAAAATGGAAACGTACCGAACGAGTTTAAGTCTAAGACTGAACCGAGCCGATTTAATAGTCACGGTATGGGTATGAGTTCGGTAAAATATTGGACCGTCTCGGACCGCGTCCAGCCCTCTTCAAACTGGAAAGTGTTGCTTGGTGCTGTTGGGGTAGGGGGTGAAAGGAACACATGAATCTAGCAAGGTAAAGGATGACTGCTTCCCAAATTATGTGGAAATCCAAATGTTGTGTTGATGGATGGCTCCAAGTGCCGCAAGAAGAACACTCTGTGGCAACGGCAGGATTGTTGGGAGCTCATGTATGGCG